AATCTATTATGCCAAAGAAAGTCATTTGGGATATTGGTAGTAGTGGTGTGAACTGTAGAAGAAGAATGTGGCTGGTGAGGAGGCAGATTTATTACATATAATCCTTGGTTCAATTCAGCTAAACCAATCATCTTCTTGGAGGTATTCTGCATAATAGAGCAAGAGTCAGAATGAAAAGACAAATGACATTTGAGAGTATGAATGAGTTTATGAACTGAAATTAAATTGACACGAAAATCTGATACATAAAGAACATCATAAAGGATCAAAGAGTTAGATAAAAGGACAGTACTAGAAATGGAGGTGGAAATTTTGACATTATTGGGTAATGTGATTAAAATGGGAGAGATAGACTTGTAATTAATAAAATGTTTGACACCAAAGGTAATATGGTCAGTGGCATCGATGTCCAAAATCCACTGATGAATATGTTCACCTGGATGAGGAGAAGAGGGTTTAGGAATAACGAATGTAAAGGTGAAAGAGTTAGAGATAGGAGAAGTGGACACAAAATTAGCAGTATGAGGAACAAACTTGGATTATTGTAAAAGGGTCAGAATGTCTTGATACTGCTCTGCAGTAAAATTAACCATTTAACTTGAAACTTCTTAAGGTGGCAAGATATTGGATGTAGATGAATCTGTGGTAAAAGTACTCTGGAGAGTATTAGCCATGCGTGTTTAGAGAGATACCCTGGGGAAAAATCATGTTTGAAATAGCAAGTATCGATGGTGTGATTAGGTCGGTCACAATTTGTTGCCTGATTGACCGCGTCCACCAAAAAACCTACCGCAGCTTTGAGAAGTAAAACCTCTGTTACCGCCACCATTGAAAACTCCCGAAGTAAAATTTTCATTAGATTTCGGTTGTGAATGAGGATTGAGATCAACAACTAAAGCTTGAGATTAAATATAAACATTAGTAGGATTATGAACAGAAATAAACTGACGTTCTTGTTGAATGACCATATTAAAAACCTTAGTAAGCTAAGGAAGAGGATCCATAAGCATGATGTGAGATCTAACGGAGGCATATTGATCATTCAAACCCTTAAGAAAAACTGAACTTGTTGCTTATATTTTAAGGCAGAATCAAGCGCACTGCAATAACAGGGAACAGAACATTTGCAAGAAACAAGGGGGCGAAAAGTATTGATTTCTTCCCAAATGATCCATAAGGTAGTATGAAATTCAGTAACAGAAGAGACACCTTGGGTTAATTTGTATAAATCTTCTTGTAATGTAGCAACATAAAAAAAATCACCCTGATGAAAACGATGAAATAGATCTTGCCATACAACACCAGCAAAATCGATCCAAATAATGGATTGAAGAATGAAATCGTGTACAAAACGCTGAAGCCAAGAGAGAACCATCATGTTACACCGATCCCAGGGTTCATGAAAAGGGTCGGTGAACGGCAGTTCAGACAAGCTTCCATCGATGAATTTTAACTTATTTTTAGATCTTATGGTAAGTTTAATAACACGAACCCAAACATGATAATTTTTATCATCAAGCAGAGAAGAAACGAGAACTAGGATATGATTTTCATTAGAATGAAGGAAGTAAGGATTGGTATGAAAATCCAAATAGACAGTGGCGGATCTTGACCATTAATCTTGGAGGGGCCAAATAATATATTATTAATAAATAATAAATAAATATAAAAGGAAGAAAGAATATGAAATGGTGAAGGATACAATTATAGATATATACTTAAATATATTAAATAATCATTAAATTTGAGAGAGACAAAATCATAAATTTTAGGAGAGTTACAAAACTGAGGAGGGGTTGAGAGGATAAAATTATAAATATATAAGTAAATATATTAAATGTTCATTAAGTTTGGGAGGATCAAAATCATAAATTACATGGGACAAAACTTTGGAGGGGGCCACGGCTCCCTCAACTCCCAAGAATATCTGTCACTGCAAATAAGAATCGGAAGCCATGGAAGAACAATTAAAGAAAGAAAACTTCTCATACCATCTTACATGTAAATCTTATATTATTGAATTATCTCTTTCTCTCAGTATAAAAATAGTACAAGCAGATCAAAATATATAATTTTGTGGAAAGAGTAACAGAATCACACATAACAAACTAGAATATCAGAACTAAATAACAAACTAACAACCACATAACAAACACAATGAAAGAAAATATTCATAACTACTCTCACTCAACATGACTGATGTGTTAGAATCTACATAAAATGTTTAATTTATGTTCTCAATCAAATTTTCTTACTTTATTTAAATAATATTATTTTGTTTTAAAGTTAAAATTTTTAAAAGGATCAACTTATTTTATATTAAAAAAATCTCTTATTTTAATAATTTGAAACAAACTTGTATTTTTTAAAATAATCACATTTGAAAATAATTTTAAAAAACATTAATTTCGTTCTTATTTCATCTCTTCAATCAAATTTCCGTTTATTTGAATAATATAGATATTTCTTTTATAATCAAAATACATAAATCAATTTATATTAATTTACAATCATAAATAATATATATATATATATATATAAAATATGTATATATAAATGTTTTTTAGGTTGAGTTATGATAAATAGTTAGACTATATATTTTTAAAAAGTATTTATTGAAAAAATACTTCAAAATAATTATTTTATTATTTTTTTAATAATTATAATATAACAATAATATTTGTAATATTTTAATTTATTTATATAATATTTTTTAAATATATAATATATTAAATTATAATATTTATAAGTTATTTAAATATTTATATTTTTCAATAATACATACTATTTTTTATTAAAGAATAAAATAGAGCATGAAGATAAAAGAATGAAAAAAAGGGAAAAAAAATGAGAAGAGAAAAAAATAAGGAAAGGAAGGAAAATAAATATATTACATCAGATAAATTTATTGAATCTTATGTATAATCAGTAAATAGATAAATAAATTTAAAATATTTTATTTCAATTTTTTTAAAATATATTATTTATGAGATTGATTTTTAAATCAAACATTTTATTTTTATTCTTGTCCTATCTTATTTCTATTCTTGTCATATCTTATTTCTTCATGAGAGGATAATAAATATAACACTACAAATAATAATATTAAATAACATAATATAATAATAATTATAACATAATATATTTATAAAACTTTATGAAACAAATAAAAAACTTGAGATAAACTTATGATTTATTTTTTAATAAAATGAATATTTTTAAAAATGTTTTTTAAACAAACTTTAGTTTTTTTTTTCTGAAACGACTAAAAACTTGTATTTCAATATAATGAAATATCTAGAACGGCTAGAGTAAATTTCATAGGCATTGTTTTTTCAACAAAAAAAAAATAATACTAATAGAATGATCACAGATACAGATCGAAAAGCTAAACAACATCTAGGAAGCTGTCTCCTTTATTGGGTCCATGGAGATTGCGTTGTCATATTCATATTTGTGTAGCCCAATCTTCATCAGGTTCAAACATTACATTAAGGCTTTTTCTTCTTACACCGCACTTTCTTTCTGCATATATGTTCTTTTAAAATGATAATATTATCTCTAGTATAAATAGATTTTGGAAAGCTCGATCTATAAATTTGTTGGATTAATATTTTTTGGATGATTTTTGAAAATATTATAAAATCAACTTTTAGGAATATTCTGAAAAACTGATTTTTTTTTTGAAGTCAATCTGGAATTTTTTGAAAAATATAATTAAAAAATGAGTTTTAGATTATTAAATCCCAAATATATTTTTAAAAAATACAGTATAAAAATAAGTTCATAATTTTAAATTTATAATATATTTTCAAAAAATATAATATGCAACACCATAAATATAAATCAAATATATTTTTTTACTATATTTTTAGATGTACAATATATTATATAATTCAAAGCATAAATAATCAATGATCAATTTCTAACTTTTAAGTATGCAAGAGGTGTTGTAAATAGAGGTTCAAAAGAGGAAAATTGATCACACATATTTTAACTTTAAGTGAGAATAATACTTAAACGAAGGTGCAAGACGTGTTGTACATAGAGGTGCAAAAGAGGAAAATTGATGACATATATTTTTGACATTCCCCGTAACGATGTAAGAGAGATTATTGGAGTGTTGGAAGAAGCAGCCTACGTTTACGTTTAGCCCATTATCCGTTGAGACCCAATTAAGAGGCCCAAAGAGTAGAAAAACCTAAATGCAATCCGAACCGTCCAATTTAGGTGTTGTGAGTCATAGGCTACTTTAAAAACCAGCACAAACCCTAACTCGTGCCTTCGTCATTTTTCGCAGCTGCAGTTCCTGCGCGTGAACAAGTCTCAGGTAGCTCTCTCCCTTTCTTCTTCTTAGATGCTTCATTGAAACTCTGAATGCATTTATTTTTCTAGATCTTCATTTCGCTATTTAGCTCCTGAGACATTGTTTGTTTCTGAAAATTCGACGTTGTCCTGGTTTCGTTCAGTGTTTTATGGATTTGTGTAGTGTTTGGGATTGAATTGGACTTTGAGCTTCTGTAGTTCATGATGTTTGTGTTCTCTCGATTTTGGTTTTTGATTTATATTCTTGAACTCTTATTGCTTTTGATGATGTGTGACTCGGAAAATTGCTTTGTTTTCTTCTACTCCATGGGATTATAATTGTATTAATATATATACCCGTTGCTATGAGCTTAGCCTCTCATGTCGAGTGAGCACAGGGAATGTGCGAGGCCATCGCATATTTTGTAAGAAGAAACTGTGGCCAAAGAACATTTTCCACCTTGTATGTTCAATCATCTGGTTTAGTGACTGTTTTCAACAAAATTATTTGATAAATGTTGTGTAAGTTCTCGAAGGATGATATCGCATTACTTGTTGTGTATAACTAAATTCGCTGAGTTCTTGTGGTATGTGATTGATGTACTCTGTTTACCCTATTTTGTGCGCATCCTCAACTTATAAATTAAGAATCTCATTTTTTTTTTCGTGGTTGACTTTTATACGTAAGGTAAGCCATGGTTAAGCATAACAATGTCATCCCCAGCGGGCACTTCCGCAAGCACTGGCAAAACTATGTGAAGACCTGGTTCAATCAACCAGCAAGGAAGACAAGAAGACGGTTGGGTAATTTAATATTTTCTTTCTCGTTTTGAGATGCCTTAAAATATTCGTTGGCGCAGATTGTTGCTATAATTTTCTAACAAATTGATGTTGTTGCATTGTTTAGCTCGTCAAAAGAAAGCTGTGAAGATTTTCCCAAGGCCCACAGCAGGACCTCTCAGACCTATTGTGCATGGTCAAACTTTGAAATACAATATGAAAGTTAGAGCTGGGAGAGGTTTTTCCCTTGAAGAGCTTAAGGTAAAACTTGTATCTCCTATATCTGATTAAGATTCGTTGATTATAATTATTAAAACTTGTATCTTTTGTGGCATTTTATTTCAATTTTTCTTGATTTTTGCTCGAAATTGAAAAGACTTTAGGAACCTTAAGTTATTTTAAGCATCTATCTGTAGAATGGAAGTGCGTAAAAAGATGAATTCCGCTTGTAGTAAATCGTCTCGGTATATTAGGTGTTTTCTATTTTATGTCACAGGGGGCTGGTATTCCCAAAAAGCTTGCTCCAACAATTGGAATTGCTGTTGATCACCGCCGCAAGAACCGTTCTTTGGAAAGTCTGCAAACAAATGTGCAGAGGCTGAAAACATACAAGGCCAAATTGGTTGTGTTCCCGAGACGGGCGCGCAAGGTCAAGGTAATTCAAATGATCAATTATCTCTTTTGATAGTGTGGTCATTTTCTTAATGTTTGATATCATCATTTCTTCCAAAGGTCTAAAAGAAACAAACCTTCCTGTTAATATTTTGCAGGCTGGAGACTCAACTCCCGAGGAACTTGCAAATGCAACACAAGTCCAGGGTTCATACTTGCCTATTGCGAGGGAGAAGCCTTCTGTTGAACTTGTGAAGGTCACAGACGAGATGAAGTCATTCAAAGCTTATTACAAGCTTAGACTTGAACGCACAAACAAACGCCATTATGGTGCTAGACTGAAGAAGGCTGCCGAAGCTGAAAAGGAAGACAAAAAGTGATGACCTTTTAGAAATCCCAAGTTTGTAGTCTCCTCATATAATAGTTGTTCCAAGACAATTTTTGCTCGAGATTAGTTTTATCAAAGAACATGTTCAGTTGAAAACATGGATCACTTCACCTATTTTATGTACCTGTTATTCAAGTTTGGTGGTTTAACTGCAAGCACTTTCTTTTATCTGGATTATTTGCGGCAATATATCTCTTGTTTAGACCGTTTTTTGATTGCTGCTATCATAGCTACTACAATTCAACTGAGCTAGAATTCCTAAAAGAAGTTAATGGATAGTTTTATTGTGCTGCATAAAAATATCTTCTAATGATTTCTAATAATGTTTAATTCCTTAATTAGTATGTTTAGAATACTGATTATTAACAGGATCAGATAGAGTATCTTCTCCTGTTTACTCGATTTCTCCTATCTTGCGATTTTGTTAGTTAAAGCTGTGCTTCTGAAATCCTTATATCGGCTTTACATGCTGAAAAGTACAGTTTTCTGGATTATAAATAATTTTGAGTTTGTCTGTTTGTTTTCAACTATTAGACTTTTGCGCCATTAATATTTTTATTGAGCTTTGGGTTGGTATGTAGTTTTGAGAATTTAAGAGGTGATTCAAATGATTTTTCTGGTGTAGTTGTGATAAAATTGTAGAGTATAGTGAGAAATACATTGTGAAACGTTATTTTATTAAAATTTATTATTTTATTAAAATTTATAATAAACAAATATTTTTGAATGTATAAATAAATAATTTTTGTCTGAAGATAAGAAGTTTGTTACTAATAAAAAGTTTTGGATGATTACTTTATGTGTTTTTGAGTTTGAGGGAAATTTGGTTTTCATAATATTTAAAATATAAAACAAATATAAATTTGTACTCTATGAAACCAGCAATTTTTTACCCTTGCAAATGTACGGGTTAAATATTTTGTTATATATAAATATATTAATTAAAACTGAAATATATTACTATATTTTCTGAATGAATCAAATTAATTTTCAATTAATATAAAACGCTGCTTAAATTAATATGTAGATAATTGTTTAGTTACAATACCATTTTTAAAGACCATTTTTAATTATTAATTACATATAATTATATAACTATTTTATCCTGTTAAATGCATAGTATAGTGTATATAGTTATATATCAATTTAAATGTCATAAAAACAATATTTTAAAAAAAATACTAAATAAATACTTGTAAAAATATAAAGTATAAAAAAAAATGTGATATAAAATATTTAAATGAAAATTTAAAAAGAAATAAATAGATAATGATAACTAAATATTTGAGTTGATAAATTTAGTTTTAAAGGAAAATTTTTGGTAAGAAGAAAAAGAGAAACTTAAATCTCTATCTTTATACCTTACGCACATAATAATTTACACGATAATATGTTTAATTTGTGATAAACTAGAAATATTATTATTATTTTTTTCTGAGTTACACGTTTATAGACACATATAATCATTTATACGATAATATGTTTAATTTGTGATAAACTAGAAATATTATTATTATCTTTTTCTGAGTTATGGATAATCTTATATAGGAGAATATACTATTAATATTTACAAACTAAAACATGATAATTAAGTCTAAGTCTGTAATTAAATTCTAACAAGTTTTTATTTTTTTTGTGTCAAAAGATGTAAAAATATTTCAAATTTAAGTAATAATTTAATATTTTCTGCTTTTTTATCACTTACAAATTTTAACAAATTTAATTTTTGTTTTGTTTATCACATTTAAAAGATTAATATAATCTTAATTATGTTTTAATAGTTATAATTTTTATTTACAATTAATAAATAAATATGATTATAATAAAAAAAATAGGACAGATAAAGAGCATAATAAAAAAGTAGTATATTTTTAATAAAATTAAGAGTGGAAAAAAATATTAACCCATTAAAAAAACCTAACTTGCCAACTGTAAAATTATTTAACAATTAAAGTGTATTTTTTTTTATTGAGACTAATTAATGAGCACCTATAGTTTTCAGGACCATTTACTTCACTCTCTTTTAAATGTAGATAGGAATATGGTTGCGTTACGTAGACGCGCTGAGTTGTGTTCCCGGGCCCACGTTCCATTTTCTGCAACTATAAGTACGCTTCGAACGTAACGCTCATCAGGATCACCTACAAACTAACAAAGATCCAGCAACCCAAACAACCTCTCTTTCTATCTCCCAACCAAAACACTCATGGGTTTGAAGGTTTGTCCCCGTAATCTGTGTGCTTCTTTCATATGTTTCAGCCTTTGTTTTTCATCAATGTTTATGTCTCCTTAGTATACATGATTGTTGTCTATTTATTATATATATTATACACACTCGTCGGTTTTGCTATTGCTTTGTGCTCTTCTTTTTATTTTTTTCAGATCCCTTCTTATGTATTGTTTTTCTCTGCTAGTAAATATGTCGTTCCTTCTCATGTATGGTTTCTCTGCTCCACGGCACTGTTTAGTTTGTTATGGGGTGCTCAATTGTTTGGCAAAAAAGGGTTTTTTTGTTTTTTTGATTGGTGGGTATTTTATTCAGTCGTCTTGAAGTGAGAGATATTCTATGGGTCTGTTTTTGTGGCCTTAGAGGATGTGATACCTTTTGATTTGTTGGAACTTGGAATAGTGAGTGGCTTCTTCTTTAGTGTGATGTTTTCCCTTTGAATAAAAGAAAGTTCTGATTTCTCAATGTACTGTATTCGCAATTCATGTGAACTTTAGCTTCAGTTGCTTGATAGTTTGTTGCGGGAACCTTTTGATCTGTTGTTTGTATTGCTTTAGGCTTGAAGATAATGATTAAGTTTTAGGGGATTGCTTGTTCTTTAGTGGATCAGCAAATGCTGAAGCACATCCTATTAAATTTAGTAATTTTGTAATGGGAAATTTTGATATGTTCTGCAATACTGGTTATATTCGAGAAGAAATGCTGTATGCAATTATTTGACTATCTTTGGAAGGAGTACAGTTGTTAAAATACTGTAATTAGGCTATTCTGTAACCAGTGTGAAATTAAATTCATCAAATAAGCATCTTAAATCTCTGGGCAGGGACTGTTAAATCAATGCTTTATAATGAACATGCATGGATTGTTGTTAATGTACTGTAGTTTCTATGAGGATCTATTTTGTGAGTATGTTCTGAATTTTGAACTAGTTTTATAATTTTATGCTTATAAAAATAATTGACACTTGAAGCATCACGCACTCATTGGGATATGGTTATACAGGAGGACTTTGAGCAGTATGCTGTCAAAGCCAAGAGTTTGCCAGCAAATCAAACAAATGAAAACTTGCTTATCCTTTATGGATTGTACAAGCAGTCCACTGTTGGACCTGTTAACACCGGTGAGTGCTCTTTTTTTTTTTTTTTTTTTTTTTTAACAAATAACTAAAATAAATCCTTCACTTTTGAATCCTCTCTATCAGCAGGGTTCGGCCCTCTTTTCTAAATACATAAGGATTCTCCTTGTTCATGAATTTTCTATATGATTTTACAGACCGTCCTGGAATTTTCAACATGAGGGATAGAGCTAAATGGGATGCATGGAAGGCTGTTGAAGGTAGAAATAAGCTAGGTTGATCGATTTATGTTTCGTGCTAGTACTTTATGTTTTCTCAGGTCTTCAAAACTATTTTTTGCAGGGAAATCCAAGGATGAAGCAATGTGTGATTACGTCACTAAGGTGAAACAGCTGCTGGAAGAAGCTGGCTTGCCTGCTTGACAACATTGTCCTGTCTTGCATTATGATTCTGTGCTAGAAGTTCCCTACTATTTTGAAATAAACAATTGCAGTGTTTGAAACTTTTATAATTATAATCTTATTTACTCCTAGTGTTATAGACATATGTTACTTTGAGTTCAGTTATCTCTATCACTATTCACAACGGACCTCAAAATTTCTGTGTAGTATAATTAAAAGTTAAAACTACTTCTGCTTTTGATTTCTGTTACTTGATCTACCGTTTTCCCTCTCCCCTCTCTGATATAAATCTGAATTTCATTAGTTTGCGTTGTTTTATATTTTTGTTCTGTCACTCCCAAACAGTGCATGTGAATTTCTAACCATCGTTGTTGATGATGATGTTATTGTTGTACCAACATGGCATGCAATGATTTCTCCAGAAATTTGAAATTTTAAGGATTTCATATATATGGTTGGACTTCTCATCTCATGGGATAAGGTCACTTTAGATATAGTTAATAATGAAGAGATTGATTATCGACATTACGGATAGATGTATAATATGTTGGAATATGTACATTTTGATTTTGTATCTGTGTTTTTGTAGAACAAGGATTAAAAAGAAAAATATCCCACAAGGATTAAATTTAATACTGTGAAGGTTGGTTTGTCTTTCTCACTACCTAGTCTAGTGGTGAGATTTTGGGTAATTAGGTTCAAACACCATGGTTACCCTCAAAAACCTTAGGTTGAGTTTACAATATCAGACCATTCTATGAAATCTAGCTTATAGTTACATAAAAAGTTGAGATTCCGAGTAGTGTGGTACCATAGACAAAGAACAATTCCGTTTTCAATTTTGATATTTCTGATTCTAATGACAGTGGTTGTTATTTTTTAATTTTGATGTAGTAGCCTTAACTCAGTTTCATGATAACCCCCGGTACTCTATAAATCAGACATGACTGCTATCTGAAATGCAACCAGCCTCCTGTTACACTGGCCCATGCCTCTCCTCAACAACATGGTATATGCGTACTGGGTAATTCCTTATTCCTTTTTGGATCACTAAAATTCAAACGATACTCTACACCTAACATCACGTACAAAATAAATCTTTAGAAAGATATGCAAAATTAATTGACGTCGTTATCTGTGCTTGGTTTATGTTGGTGCATTGTGGTCCTAAAACGCTTTGGTAGGTATATTTTCTTGATGTTTTATGATTATGCAACAATGGTATTCGTGTACCATAAACAGTATATCTATTTCATGATAATGTTTTCTTCTTCCTTTATATTTTTCTCTTTTTACATTGCCTCTTTTATCCGATCTTGTACTCTTTTTTCTTTCACCTTTTATTCCCAAAATGGAAATCTATCTTGTAATATTCTGAGGAATCGAGGTGAGCCTTGGTAGTTAGGTAGTTGATTTGCAAAACTTAGATGGGTATTGTTTAAATGGAGACAGCAAAGGTAGTTGGGAAAGTTAGTCACTTATGAGTAGAGTGAGGATCTGGAATACTCATAAAATCCTCACCTATCTATCCCCCATCCACATGGCCAATCATATGTACCAAACACACCAAAGTAGTTAGAATATTCAAACACACTTTCAAGTTTTACAATTTTTTGAACTCTTGTGAATTTGGTTTATGATATAATCAAGAAGGACTAGGATGATGTGTTTGAGTTGAGATGGACTACTAATGTACTTAAAAATAACTATAGATGTGACATTTAGTTAGGATTGAGCCCCTAATGAATGAGTATATTTTAATAAATGTAATATTATTTTCAATTTTTAATTATAATTATAATTATTTTTTTAAGTTAATCTAAACTCATGCGATTGTAAGTTAAAATAAGTCAATTTAAATTGTTTGTTTTAATTTATACTTTTATTTTCATTTTAACTCAACCTGTTTTATGAATTAAAGTAAAAAATAAAAATAAAAAATGAGTTATATTTCTTTATATTAAACTCATAAGCATGACCATAATAACTCATTCCATGTAAGTTTAATGTTGACCCATTAGTGATCTATTTTTATATACATTAAAATTATTATTATAAGTTGTATTCGTTAAATATGTGTTTTTGGACTAATCTAAAACGAAACAGAATATTTTACAAATTAGACTTATGTTTTATCTATTATAAGTTATCATATAGTTAAAAAAATAATTGATTTCTTTCTTGGTTAATAAATATTATTTTGGTACTATCTTTTTTGCCTGAATTTTTTTTATTTGGAAATATTGCTTCCGAGTCTTACTCCACACCTTAGATAAAGGATCTCATATACTATAAATATTATTTTATTTTATTTTTATATTGCCAATCTTACTTCAATTCATACCGAGGTAATGATTATTAAAAAAATAAGGATAAACTAAGCTTTGCATTATAATTTCTTTAAGTGTCTGTTTTGCTAGCAAACTTGAAAGGTCTTAAATCTTCAAAATAATATCAACCATGCTTGATCAAGTAAACATGGGTCAAGTTTAACTGTTATTGATTTTTGTTTTAAAAAGATTCTTTAAATTTTATATTTTCAAATTCTAATATTTTATTTTCATAATTTTTATTCAAGTTTAAATTTAAGTTAAATATAATATTCTTAAGCGTTGTTTTATTACATATATAAGGTAGGGCGATATCATTATTAAAAACATAAGAAAAATACATGTTTATAAAAAAAATAAAATAGAGAGATGGATGTGAGTATAGTGCTGAGTATCATTTATAATATGTTCATGTGATCTGAGTGCAATTTATTTCTAGCAAGTAAACTAAGGCGTTTCTTTAGGTGCCTATTGCATAGAACATGTTTCTGTGCCCTTCCTGTATCTCAATTCTTTTTTTCCTTATTATTTGTAAGGAACATTATGCAAATATAATATTTTATTTATTTATATTATTAGAAATGTTATCTTACAATATTTTCCTTTTACCCCATCTCAAAAATATTTTTGAGATTTATCATCTAACCTAGCAGACAACTTTGCTTTAGAATCTGTCGTGTGTAAGAGGTTTAAGATATTTTTTCAATTATCTCTTGAAGTAAAAAGAAAAGTTAATTTAGACAAGAATCCGAGAAAAAGAGTAAAAAAAATAGAATTTAGACAAAAATAAAGAAGAAAGTAAAAAATAAATAAATAAGAGAGTAAAAAGATAATAATTGATAAAATTAATTTGATTAATTATAAAAAATTAAATAATAGAATAAATTAAAAAATCAAAATAAATTAAATTAAGTTATGATTTAATATAAAGTAGTTATTAATAAAATTGATAAAAAGTAAATAAAATTAATTTACATATAAATAAAAAGAAACTTATATAAATGAATATCTATTTTTTTTATAACTTTAAAATAATTAAAATTAGCAAAAAGTTATATAGACCTATTTGAAATTATAAATGAAGTTGTACTTGACATATTAACTAAAAATAAATATTAGATTTTAATCGGTTATAATTTTCACTGCTTCAATTATTTATAAATCATATAAAATAAATAGAAATTGAGTGAGAAAAGAATTTATATAAAATATAATTATTATTATCTTCTGAAACTTATTAATATAAAAAAAAAATACACGTAGCTCATCTTTCTTGATAGCAGGTTTTGTATAAATAAATCAAATTTATAAACAATGTGTTCCTACTGATAACAATGTTATCATTGTCTGAATTAATAAATGAATCTTCTTCACAAGTAATTCATCTACTATTTAAATAAACCATTGAATCGAACAAAGAATAGAAACAGACAAATATGTACGTAAGAAAGGAGATAAACAATACAGGAATTGCTATAGGAAATAAAATAAAAATTATATTTACAGAATGATCCTGAGAGTAAGTAAAAATAATATGCAAACAGGTGAGATGATATAACAAATTAAGTGGAGAGTACAAGAGAAGAAATAGGTATAAACTAATAGTAAAATACCACAACACCTCCACCGTGTCTATACCTCTCTCTTGATTTGGTCAAGACTGATAAAGATCTGAACAAACACAATGGGTACGGAAACCATAAAGTGAATGAACATAAAAAAACAAAAACCCAAAAGCAATGAGGACAAGAGGGATATCTTTTTCTTCCATCTTTGTTTTAACCATTAACACATTTCAATTATGTTTTCTTCTATCAAAATACCACTGAGGCTTGATTAAATTTTCTGCAAATGAACTTTTCTTTTGACACTTACCGGAAATATCCCAGTTAACTTTTTTTTTATTATTTATTGTATATATTGACTTCAATCAATGCAATTAGAAAATTTCAGTTCAATCCTGAAAAACTTTAGTAGCTGCATGAATGACACAGAAGATAAGATACTATTACTTCACAAATAAGCTAAGGTTTGAGTCGTTAAAGGTCATTATCATGAAGATGCATAGAATATGTGTCCAGCTTCAATAAAATATGATGCTTGGCAAAATTCAAGGATTCCCTCCATGTAAAAAAAGACTGTGTGACAATAGTCTTACTGTGACTGGACCATAGACGTCAGATTCTCTATGATCTATTAACTCCCAGCATGAGCCATGAGGAACACAACAAGAGAAAGAAATTACAGAGAAGCTCAGCTTCATGCTCTGTAGCAGAGTTTTAAACAACTTTTCCATGAAAATAAAAGTGGAATTATCGAGAAAGATTGATTTTCGTTTGTTAAACATAAATCAAAACCCTTGATTATCATCACGTGAGTAAATTTTACAAAATTAAAAGATAAGGTGAATGTATTGATTTAATTTTAACACATTGTCATTAAGACGATGGGCAAACTTGTTTATTTTATTTAGAATTTTTTTAATATTTTTTGATAAACTTATTAAAAAAAAGAAGTAAAATAAATTGTTTTGAGAAAAATCTAACATTACTTCTCTCTTCTTAAAACATGCGTCTTTAAAGAGAGAAAAGAATATTTTAGAAATAACTAATTTGTTAATAATGATTGTTTTAAACACGTACCAATATCATAAGACAAACTGAAACGTGGAAGAAACAACAGTCCTCCACAGCTCAAGACAGATGCAAAGGATTATAGTAGAAAAACAAACAGATTAGAAAAAAGAAAATGGGTGAGGAAGGTGAGATGTGTGCTTCTTTTGTGATTAGTGACTTAATGTCTCCTAACCGTTATTCTTGTTTTCTTGGCTGTCACAAATGAGTGGTTCCGTCAGCAAAGGGACAAAAATGCATTTAAGATGCATGACCCAAGTGGGGATGGAAGGAGATAAGATGGCAAAATAAGCAGTGGTATGATTTCATTTGACAGGGATATCCAACTACCATTTTTATGAAATGAACAATATACATACCCATAAGAGATAACTTGTTAGCTTGAGAGGCGAGGCTTCTTTCTACTGCTATCAGAATCTCAGATTCTATTGAACAAAAGGATATCTAGAAATATAATATTCTCTTACACGAGATGCCCCTTCCCTTGAAAGAATCCCCTCAAGATCACCAATAATTCTGGCCAACCATATCTCCAGATTTCGCTGGATTTCTTTGAAGTTATATTTCATAGAGTCCAAAGACCGTCTTGTGGTTGGTGAAGTCTCGCTTCTCAACTCATCCCTGTAATTGCTCTTCCCAATTTCAGTTTGCAATGCCATTAGGTTCTGTCCAGTTTCAGATACCCCCTGTTGAAGCCGAAATGCTTCCAGTAAAAACTCTGTTTGAGTTTGGGTTCGGAATTCTGAACTGAGGGAGGGTTCGCAAGGATCATTAGCCTGCTCATAAATAAAGATGTCAGACCCAAAATTGCATTCAGTCTTATGTGACAGGGAAAATGAAGCAATAAAAGATTGTGTCATCAGAAGCAGGCTTGCAAGGGACCTGTTGTTTCCGAGGAAAATACATTAGTAGGTGGTGCCTCTACCTATAATTTAAACTTTAAAGCTAACTTTCTCCAAAACAGATTAACATCCATGATGTTGTCATCATGCTTTCACAGCACAATAAATAATACAAGCTTTCATTTTTCATTTCCTGGATGATGCAGTTGATAAATATATATCACATGGAATAATATGGTAATCATAGACACAACCATCAATTTGGGACCTATGATAAATTATATTAGAAGGCTGACATATCCGACAATTTATATTAAGAGTATCATATTAGTTTATTTTTTTCAATAGAGTTTTAAAGGCCATGTACCAATTGACAGGATGTATCGATGAAGCTTATTGCTATGCAATTGACACCATACATTTTACGTATCAGCTGACATAGAAAAGACAGAGATTTCAAAATATACAGGTAGTGTCTTACAATAATTAGAGGTTGTTTAAGTATTTTAAGCAAAAGTGAAAAAGGATGATTATGATTCCAATTTTTAGATTAATTACAATTTGCAACATAGCAAACAGAAAACAAAGGAAGCAATAAAACATGAGTTACTTACTATTCTTTGGCATAAATCATCTATTTTTTCTGAAAGCGACTGATATCTCTTTGCCTGCTTCTTAATCAAAGATGACACCTTGGAAGGATCATTTTTACCAATCTTCTCTAGATTTAACAAGTCTTGCTCAAGTAATTTAAGTTTAGAAGAAACTCCAGCAGAATCACCATCTACCTTCCAGGGAGACTCCCTTCTGGGGAAAAAAATTACAATTCATTTAGTTGAATATTGATTCCAAATGTTGCAGAGGTTACCTGCATTTAGACTATCAATTATTTACCTTGCAACAAAATGCTTTGTATTATTATACATTGATTCAAGGGATTCGTACTGTACATCCTGCAAGAGTAAGCATTTATAGGTCAGAAATTGACAGAAGTTTCTGGACAAGTAGTTGCTTATAAGTTGTCTAGTAAATAATATTGAGAAAAACCAACATAATGATTTTTATTTCAGGTGGAATGCTGTTGTATGAAGTCAAATGACCTTAGATCTTATTGGTACTTTTTGAAACACTAGTCTCCTCCCCTAGTGTCTTTTAAGATTTTAGGTAGGATGAGAGGTTCTTTGATACCTTCCAAAAGTTAGAGTTTGGATTAATCACTAATCTGCAATGCCAAACAGTTAAAGCGGGATCACTGATCAATGGATTATAAATGCCTAGGTTGCTTAGACCATTTCATGTGATTCATTTTTTGATTGATAATTGATATGAATCACAAAGGGGGTAATTTAGGATCTTTAAGGTTAGAACCTTGTAAGAAATTTAGGAATTAGAAAGAAGGTGGAAGGAAAGAATCACTCTTCTCAAGGAAGGCAACACACAAAGGATATGACAATCCTTTGATACAGCCAAGGGTTCTTGAATCACTCAAGAATTTAGGAGAATCACTCTCACTAAGATAAAAGAGATAAACTCTAATATTTCCAAAAATAAAACTCAACTTGTTATTTCTGATAAAAATGGTTCAGCTTATAAAGAAGTTTTGCCATCAGAGTTACAAATATTCATTAAAGGAAAATAAATGTTAATAATGATTTATTAACCTAGGAATTGAAAACTACTTAATGATTGACTGTAACTGAAATTGTGGCATCCAAAAGTCAATCAGCTATGCACCCTCTTGGTCTCCCAAACACTGATAACTAAATTTCCAATTGGGCCCTTATTACAACTTGCAATAAAACTAAACTAAAGCTCATTAATTGATTAATCCAAAACACAATTTGGCCAACCAACAATACTTGTTGAAAAGCTTTCTTTGTTTCTCTTGCTCTAACCCTTATCATAGGTCATGTTCACATCATTCTCTCCCTCTTGAAAAGGATTTGTCCTCAAATAGGATTCATCATCTACATAAAAAAGAGATAACTCTGATAAATTGAATGTAGAACTAACATTATACTCACTTTTTATGGCTAAATAGCTCTGTTTCACTTCACGTGTTTCACTCTTCTTTTTTTCTTTCTTTTCTTGAAGAAATTTTTCTCTCATTTTCTTTTTATTCTCCTCTGCCATCAATTTGATGTTCAAACCTTTAAACCGAGGATATGAATCACAAAGGGGGTAATTTAGGATCTTTAAGGTTATAACCTTGTAAGAAATTTAGGAATTAGAAAGAAGGTGGAAGGAAAGAATCACTCTTCCCAAGGGAGGCAACACACAAAGGATGTGACAGTCCTTTGATACAACCAAGGGTTCTTGAATCACTCAAGAATTTAGGAGAATCACTCTCACTAAGATAAAAGAGATAAACTCTAATATTTCCAAAAATAAAACTCAACTTGTTATTTCTGATAAAAATGGTTCAGCTTATAAAGAAGCTTTGCCATCAGAGTTACAAATATTCATTAAAGAAAAATAAATGTTAATAATGATTTATTAACCTAGGAATTGAAAACTACTTAATGATTGATTGTAACTGAAATTATGGCATCCAAAAGTCAATCAATTATGCACCCTCTTGGTCTCTCAAAGACTGATAACTAAATTTCCAATTGGGCCCTTATTACAACTTGCAATAAAACTAAACTAAAGCCCATTAATTGATTAATCCAAAACACAATTTGGCCAACAATACTTGTTAAAAAGCTTTCTTTGTTTCCCTTGCTCTAGCCCTTATCATAGGTCATGTTCACATCAATAATACTCAACAAAACCATCTTTTACAAACAAAAAAACAAGCAATACTGATCAAGGGACAAGTTAATTAATAGAAATAGAAGAAAATAAATAAATAAATATCTATGTTTTGAAAACTATACCTGGTCATTGAGTCGGTTAACACAACAATTCATTAGTTGGAATAAGTGATTGAAACATGGTTGAACCAAGTATTAATAAAATAAAACAAATAATTAAATAATATGTAAAATAACATTAGAGAAATATAGCATCATAACTTAATATACTAAAAACTAAAAATAGCATTTTATAAGCTTTTAACATTCAAAATACACATAAAAATCAAATATATCATAATATTTAGGTTTAAGGTTCAATAATACATAATAATATTATTTAAACATAACAAGTTTCTTGAAAAGAAAATAACAAATATTTTACATTTTTCTTATTTTTAAAGGTAAAAAAAAATCAAAATAATATTTAAAAAAAAAATTATTGCCCTACTTTGAACCGATATTTGGGCCTGTTCAATTGGAGATCAGTGCTGTGGTTTCAATGGAATGACTGATTCAACCAGTTCTGACAACAGAGATAAATATATAACAACTCCATACTCATGTTATGCACAAGATACTAGTTTTCATAGGTAAGAAAACATTTAGAAACATGAGATTTCATGTTTTAGGGAAGAAAAATCATAGGTAACAATATTTGCACTGTTTTTATTTTACGTTTTCAAAACCAATTCTATGATGAATAGACTTTTAAGAGAAGTGAAAATTCTTAACTATTTTTTTGTTGACAATAACTTATTCTGGGTGTAGAAACCACAATACACATCTATACACTTCAAAATTGTTTTTACTTTATCATCTAAACAAAAAACATTTTTTTCTAAATTCACTTTCAAAATGTCATTTACTAAAACAGATCAATTTTTTAACATCAATTCTTTCAAAACTAATTCTACCCAAAGTCTAAACTAAAACAAGAAACTCATTCCTCCCTAGTGTTTGCTTTAAAAATATTCTTAGACTGTGAGACCCTAATACTAGCATAAAAAAGCAGAGTAAAACCTTTTCTATGTCAATCAATACATACTAAGGGTGTCTAGATATTATCGATTGCAAACTATATGGTGTGCCCCCAACAAATAAAGTCATATTTTTTCACTTCTGCTCTAACCATAGTTTGGAACACAAATTCAAGCTATGTTTTGTTTTATGAAAGCAGCACTACAAACATACATGAACCACCAACCAAATGCAAGATAAGTGGCTTAAGCCATTAGCAACCATGTCCCCAGCAAAGACAATAAACAACCTAGAGAATAATAAAGGCCCTAGATTTCAGCACTGGATAAGAATGGTTACTACTGCCTGCTAATAGTAAAGTGGACCAGACATGCAGAGCAACATATTAGCATGCAAAAGGGGACAGATTGCTACAAGCAAATGACAAGCAGACAAATAACAATTGGATGGCCCATGGCTCCACCATGGTGAACCATTATGAAACCTAACCAACTACATCTAAACTCCAAAGGAAAAAAGAAGGCCTCGCGGACCCCCTATGCCATTATAAACCCCATTCCTTTTCCCTCGTAGAAAAAGTCATGCCTAAAGCAAAAGTTCTACCATACAGGAACCTCCTAAAGCACCTTACAAATAGAGTAAAAAGTGGCGCGGTAAAAGAACAGTCCACAAGGTTAGAACCGAGTATAAACATCCTGACCCAAAATCCTAAACCAGGTCATCATCCTTGGAAAAGAACTGAACTTTTTGTCATAGACCATTATTTTTAACCATGATAAAGTATTAATTATCTACCACTTTTGCAAAAAAAAATGAATTAAATATCTTTCTAGCCCTTTATAGATAAGTTTCTCTTCACTTTTAATACCTCAAAAATATATTTTTTTATTATCGTTCCTCGGGTATAAAAATGGGTCATGAGTAATTCTTAGTTTCCATAGATGAGAAGATATATTCTACGGTCACAATTTTTGGGTGAATGACAGGACCACATTTCACACAATTTTATAATTAAGAGAGACTACAAAATGTTTACTTTTCAGAAAGCCAATACTGCCATAATTGAAAAGACAACTAACATATTTAATCCAAAAATAAAATAAATTAAAATAATAAGCTGCTATTTTCCTCTGTTTCCACTCTCCGGTTTGCATTGCAAACTTCCGAATGTCTTATGCATGTGTTGATTAAGACCCTTTACCGAAAAGTAAGACAAGAAGAAGCAATTATTTAATTGAAACAAGCTAATCAAAACACACTCATCTCAAACCTCGACGAAAAAAGGTAATCATAGTCAACAACATTAAAAAGAAATCCACAAACCTGCCAAAGAGAGGCTTTCTCAGCCCAGAACTTGGAAGCAGAGGCCATAAACTCCGAATCAAAGCCATTGTTCCCAAAATGTTGACTATGCTGTTCATAGATAACTTCAACCTCCTCTTCCAAACTCCTAGTGGACCCCACCATTTCCACCTCCTCCTCCTTCTGAAACCACTCCCCATTCTTCTTACCATAGTGCTCCCTCCCACCCAATCCCTCCTCCTCAATCCTCCGCGACATGAACCCAATCATCTCGTCCCGCTCGGCCACCTCCTTCTCCGCACTTGCAGCGCATTCCTCCAGCTCCGCCACGCGCCCCCGCAGGCGCGCGATCTCCTCCGCCTCCGCGTCGATCTGCTGCAGCAGGCGCTTCTCTTCCGCCTGCCACGCGTTCCGGTGCGAGGCGAAGATCTCCACTACGCGCGCGTTCGCCTTCGAGTCCTCCTGCCGGCGCGACTTCATCTGTCGCAGCTCCTCCGCGGCCTCCGCCGCCCGTAGCGAAAGCAGGCGCACCTTTCCCTGCAGCACCGGCACAGAGTTGTTGGCCAGAGTGGCTAGGAACAGGGAGAAGCTCAACCCTAAATACGAACGCAACAGCTTGTGAGAGTCTTCTTCCTGTTGCTGTTCCTCTTTGGCCATTGCGACGGAGGTTTGGGTGTTTGTACCTGTGACCTGTGAGGGGGTTGAATGAATGGTGGTGCAGCTTTGGTTGGTACGGGGAAAGAAGAAGAAGAAAGAAAAGCAGTGCAGAGGCTAGTGATGGCGTTGGTGTGTTGATTGTGTGGACTTTGAGAACTCAGAAAAAGTGGAACAGAGCCTTTTTGTCGTTTGGTGTGTTGAGAGTTGCTGTCTACTTTTGATATGGGTGGCTTTCTCTTTAATGCTTATTTAACTAAGTAGTACAATTTGTTGCATGTGTTTTAAACTTAATTTAATTTAACCCCAAAAGGAGTGTAATCATATCAAGTATTATGATATTTTTAATACACTCTTTGTTAAACAAAAAAACCTATCTCAAATTATTTGTCTGTTATTACTATATTCATCTTTTAGTTTATGTTAGATGGTAATGAAAGTAATCCGAAAAAAATTGTAATATTTTTTTAGAAGAAAATGAAATAAATAATAAAATGAAAATTAACTACTTTTTTTAATTGTAAAATTATTTGTATATTATCAATTTTCAAAAACAAAAAATCAAACCTATCAAAATCAAACATATATGTCTTACCTCTCATAGATATTTATATAATTTATGTAACAAAATTATTTTTAAAATATAAACTACGTTGTCATTGAATATTTTCTATATATATTGAACTAATATAAAATTTGAAAAAACAAAATCTAAGATTTTATCAACTTTCGTCTCTTATTTTAATGTTTAACACCTACTACTTCCGTATAAAACACACAATCATTATACTTAAAAGAAAATAATATACAACTTATTTATATACATCTATTAATATAATTTAAGATTTTATTATATAATTGGCTATAAAAAAATATTATTTATCTCTATATTTCTTATCAATTTAATTTATGTTAATATATATATATATATATATATATATATATATATATATATATACTCAAAGTCATTTACAAATAAATAATAAGTACTATTATTAAAAAATAAATTCATCATAAAAAAATTATATTTTCTAATATTTTGTTGTTGTTGTTAATAACAACATGAAAACACTTATAAACAAATTCACATTATCAATCAATTAATAAGTATTATTAAAAATATTTTAAGATATTAATTATAAAAATATAGTAAGTTTAATATTCTTATTTATAATTGAATAATAATTTAAATATTTTGGCTGATCATTTATTTTATCCACAAAGATGTTACTTAATCTAAAGTATTATTAGCATTATTTAATAAAAATAAATATAATTGTAAATAAGATTTTATATTATTATTTAATTTAATTGTCAATGATTAGACAAGATTTATAATTATATTTATAATTTTGTTTTTATATTACTTTTCAACATTTTCATATTTGATTTAGATTATTATGCATATAAAATTGTTTACTTCTTTAATAATTACTTTAAATTTCAGATTTAAAGTTACTTTTTACTTTTTAATATAAAAATATTTACATTAACAGTCTATATAAATAAATTTTGGTTTCTTTCCTTTTTAAACTAATTTAGTAAAATATATGCAAAAGATAAATAAAAAGGAACGAGAAAAACACATTCAATTTAATTTAATTTTTTAAAATAATATTTAAGTTAATTTAATTAAATATTAAAAAATTATACCTTTATATAATAATAAATAATTTGATATTTTATAAAAATAAATAAACTACTAAATAATTTGTTGTGATACTTAAATAATTTGACAGTATTAATTTAAAAATACAAATTAGTATAAGATAGAGTGCAAACTCTCTATAAAGAATTTGGAGGTTAAATTTCTGAACCTAACATGCAAATTTGATATAATATTTTTCATTTATTCAATTAAAATAACAAATACTTATATTGTATTTTTTTTCGTAATTTTTTTAATTTAATGGTGTCAGCGAAACACATGGTTGATATTAGAAGGTGCAATGTATGGATAAAAAAAGGGTTAGGTACGCATTCTGTCTAATGAATACGAGGCAAGTTGTGATTTTAGCAGTAAGACGGGAGGAACTGATTTAATTTAAAAAATATTTATATATTAAAATTAAAATAAAAAAAATTATCATTAAAAATATTATATTTTATTATGTTAGATTATTAAAATATATAAATATATTATAATATAATTTAAATTATTTGTCTGTTATTACTATATTCATCTTTTAGTTTATGTTAGATGGCAATGAAAGTAATCCGAAAAAAATTGTAATATTTTTTTTAGAAGAAAATGAAATAAATAATAAAATGAAAATTAACTATTTTTTTAATTGTAAAATTATTTGTATATCTATTTAAAAAAAAATAAGAAAGGAATGCTTTTAAAAATTTATATTATCAATTTTCAACAACAAAAAATCAAACCTATCACAATCAAACATATATGTCTTACCTTACCTCTCATATATATTTATATAATTTATTTAACAAATTATTTCTAAAATATAAACTACGTTGTCATTGAATATTTTTCTCTATATATATATATATTGAATTAACATAAAATTCAAAAAATAAATAAAAATATAAGATTTTATCATCTTTCATCTCGCTCTTATTAATATTTAATGACTACATTATCTGTTTCCTTATAAAACATACAATCTAAAGAAAATAATATATAACATATACAAGATAAATTAGTATTTTAGAATAAACATGTTAAATTTAAATTTGTTTAAAGGCTCCAACTTCATGCATTTCCAAATATATTATAACTATACAAATTCATTTCATTTATTACATCATATCAATTCACACCACAAACTCTAAACAATTTTCAGAATATTGAACATTAAATTAGACACAAAGATTTTTCATTTATCACACTAACTTTTTTAAGTGAATATCTTTAACATACGTAAATAATTGGAACACATCCCCTCATATACACAAGGCAAATCTTTATAACTTATCATATACAACTTTTTTTTCACATCATAAGTTAAGTCATAAAGATTTCATTTAATTCTAACCAAGTTTCGTTTATGTGATTCCAATAATCAGTAAAGTCAATATAATCTCCCTTAAAATCTCAATTCAATATCCTGCACACTTTGCCATATGGTATCTCCCTTGGCACTCACCCACATTGCAATCGATTATGAATCACATTCCGAAACTTTACTTAGTCTCACATGCACAAATATATCTTAGTCAATTATGAGTCATTTTTCTTACTCGTTTAAGCCTCAATAAGTATATTTTAGTATTAAGAACACATAAAATATCACCACATCATCTCATAAATCATCACATATATAACACACATATATGAATATCTCATAATAGTTCTCACATTATAACAAAATATTTTTCTATACATATAATAACACTTAACACACCTCATCTCATACTCACAACATATGTTCTAACATTTTAAGTTATATACAAATCATTTGTCACATTTACCAATAAAATATATTTTTCTAATTTGATATCTACCTATTCTTTTGATCATAACTTCTTGTTTTTTTGTAAAAAAAAATTTAATAATGATTGTTTTATAGAATTCCTCACTTTCAAGACTTCAATTTGGATATGTGGAACATTAAATTTGGATATGTGGAACATTAAATTTAGAATTTAAAGCTATTTTTTATAATTTTTAGAAGTTTAGACAAAAATTTTTTTGAAAACTTTTGCTTAAGCGAAAATACATCCGAAACAAGTCTCATTTCACTTAGAGTTTTTTGTTTGAGTAAAATGTTTTATCTTGAATAAAAATACATCCAAGAAGAACTCTTAAATTTGTTGCACATTTCATTTGAGTGACAAGTAGGGATGTCAATACAAGTTTTAATATGTGAGTCAACCCGACTTACCATAGGTTTTAAGCCGAGTTGAGTTGGATTTTTTTTTTCATTTTTATTGATAATTGGTTAAAAATGAATCCAACTCACTTAACCCACAATTTAAGCAGGTTTGAGGTGGGTTGTGATGAGTTGTCCCGCAATCCACCATTAATTTTAAATTTTAAAAATAATTATAATAATTTAGTTACCCAAATTAATATTATTCTGCCTCTCCACCACTACTCAACATCGTTGCTACAAACTAACCCATCATCACTTAAAAACTTATAACTAATTGTTTATCGCACCATTGCGTTCACCACTGCACCTAAGTCGTTTGTCATCTGCCTGGTGCACCACTCGTGTCACTGTGCTAACGTACTTCAAATAGTGTTTCTCATGTTTTAATCACATCATAATGTTTGTTGTATCATCAAGTCATTGTGTTCTAGTCATGCAATTCAATCGTACTTATTTTAAAAAAATAAAAAATAAAAAAATAATTATGGGTTAGCAAATCAACCTACTTAGTCATGCAATTCAATCGTACTTATTTTTAAAAAATAAAAAACAAATAAATAATTATGGGTTAGCAAATCAACCTACGAACTCGTAGTAGGTTGAGAAATTTGCGATTCGTTATAAATTGAGTCAGGTTGAGTTTGACTATTTTCGGTTTAACCGCGTAAGTCAGGTTGACTTACTTAACACTTGATTTAACCGTGTAAGTCAGGTTAACTTACTTAACACTTGACAAGTGTTGGGTAATTCGAGAGAGATTCATAGGGGAGAAACACACCAATGAAATATGAGTCTAACCCAACGCTTACCTGATCCCCTCTGATATGAATGAGACATGAGCTCAATCCACATAAGGATTGATATCACTCTCAACCAAAAACCTTAAGATATTTGGTTACGGGTCATACTTCCTTATATATTGTTTAACTTTTTTAATTTTACCCAATGTGATACTTAGAATCACACTTGTATTTTTTAACATAAAATTGTTACTTTAGCAAAGCAAATAACATAATGTAAAAATACACCTAAAACTTATTTATAGACATCCATCAATATTATTTAAGATTTTATTACATAATTGACTTTAAAAAATATTATTTACCTTTATATTTCTTATCAATTTAATTTATATGGGAAGAAAGAATATATATATATATATATATATATATATATATATATATATATATATATCCAGTACTATTATTACAAATAAATTCATCATAAAAAATCTATATTTTCTAATATTTTGTTGTTGTTGTTAATAACAATGATCATGAAAACACTTATAAATAAATTCACATTATCAATCAATTAATAATTATTATTAAAATATATTTTAAGATATTAATTATAAAATATAGTAAATTTGATATTATTATTTATAATTGAATAATAATATAAATATTTTGGCTGATAATTTATTTTATCCACAAAGATGTTACTTAATCTAAAGTATTATTAGCATTATTTAATAAAAATAAATATAATTGTAAGTAATATTTTATATGATTATTTAATTTAATTGTCAATGATTAGATAAGATTTATAATTATATTTATATTTTTGTTTTTATATTACTTTTCAACATTTTCATATTTGATTTAGATTGTTATGCATATAAAATTGTTTACTTCTTTAATAATTACTTTAAATTTCAGATTTAAAGTTACTTTTTACTTTTTAATATAAAAATATTTACATTAACAGCCTATATAAACAATTTTTGGTTTCTTTCCTTTTTAAACTAATTTAGTAAAATCGTCAATAAAAGAGTATGCAAAAGATAGATAAAAGAGAACGGGAAAAGCACATTCAATTTTATTTTATTTTTGAAAATAATATTTAGGTTAATTTAATTAAGTATTAAAAATTTATAGCTTTATATAATAATGAATAATTTGATATTTTATAAAAAAAAATAAACTACTAAATAATATTTTTGTGATACTGAACATAATTTGACAGTATTAATTTAAAAATATAAATTAGTATTTTGTATAATTATTAATAATAATTAATTATTTGATATATAAATATAATATTTTTAAAAATTTATTTAATAAAAATATTAATTAATAAATAAAAATTAAAAAATATTTTTAATAAAATTTATTCAGAAATTCAACCCGCGACGAGTTAGGATATGGGACTGGTCCTAACTGTAACAAGGACGGAGAAACGGAGGCTGGCCGTGCATCCCTAGGAAGAAGTGCATAAATGAAACTGTCAATTGTTTTTTGAGTGAAGAGAAATGTGGGGTATGTCCTCTTCTCTGCCCATGTGCCCTAAGTAGTATATTCAGAAAATTAAAATGATCCAAGTAAATTTATGACTTATAATTTTTTTTTTCTTTTCAGCTATAAAATATAAAAATCTAAATTGAAGAGAGAATTTAAGTTGTGATACTGACGTAATTTGCACATCAAATAAAGAATTCAAATTTATTTAATTTTTTTTATCTCTTGTTTAAAATTTATTAAACTCACATTATTTTAATGATTTAGAATAGTATAATTTTACGATTATGTTGTCTTATATATTTAATAATGTGAAATGAGACATTCACATGTCAAAATTGTATTGTTTTATGTTTCTTGTGGTAAGATAAAAAAAAAGAGGAAAAAAAGTTAAAAAGAAATATTAATTGCCATAAAAAATTAGTGAAAAATGATTTTATTTGTTATTAATTATTGTAAGTTTATACTATTTTTAAACTTATTGTTATAATGAAACAAATATATTAAATTAAATATAAAATATTTATTATCACCAATTATAAGATAATAATCCTTAAAAAAACTTAATTCTTATTGATTTTAAAATAAGATATACAATTTTTTCGAATATGTAAAAAAAATATTCTATAACATATTCTCATGTTAAAATTATTCATTCTATATTTTATTTTTACATTCATCTTGTATCTGTAAAGCAAATAAACCATTAATATGTATATCTCATTAAATATTAAAAAAATATTTTGTTAAATAAATTTAAATTTAAATTTATAGTACTACTAAAATAAAATAAAAAGCATATAAACCTTTATATAAAATAAAACTTAAAAAAATATATAATATAATTTCACACAAAATTTCAAACTAGGAATACAAAATAAGTTACAATACAAAATATATAAATTAACCAAGATAGAAACATTCACCTGAATAACTGGCAGCACCTTTTTACACAAAAATCGTCATGAATCATCATCTTTCTTCTCCTCAATACTCTTCCTAAATCAAACATCATTCTTAGACTATCTCCCATCCATTTATATGAAATGCAAAACTAATTATACGGTTAAGAAAATCCCAGTTTAGCTCTTTAGTTCAGATTTATTAGGTAATTACACAAAATTTGACTCATTTTACGATTTGTACGCACATTGTTAACGTGTGGAGATAATGACAGTTAGCAAAATTTTTTATTTTGGTCACCAAGCTTTTAATCAATATTATATATATTTATATTGACTCATTCGAAATATATCATATTTAGAATTTTTTCATTTATTTCCATTTTGAATTTACAAAATATTTTATCTGTACTTTATATATATAATTGTAAAACATATTAAATTATTTCTCCATATCTATTATACACTAAAGATTTATTTAAGATATTTTGTTAATTTATTAAAACATATAACTAATATATTATTTCAGTTCTTTATTTTTTTCTTCTAATTTTTTACGTATTTCTAGTTTATTTTATTTTGAAAAATATTCTTTAATTTAAGGAATTTGTGACTACCAATTTATTTATTTTTTATACTGTATTCCATTTTTGAGATGTTTTTTTTTTCGGTATAATTCAGTTAGTCTTAGTATTTTACTGATAAATTTAAATATTTGAAATTCAATCTATCCCATTTTTTTTATTTGTAAAATAACATGTATAAATGATTTTTTTTACGATAAAAAAAAAAGTTGTTCCCTCCACCACATCCTTTAAACATAATGTGTTTTGGTTTAATGGTTGGGACACAGTGCTCAGCTTGATCACATCTTATTTTAAATGATTCAAACTTCTCTAAAATTGTTCAAAGCACTTCCCCTGCTTTGACGTAAGACAGGTTGCACGAAGATCATTTACTCCTATTCTCCATCACTACATCATAAAGATATTTGTAGGTATTAAGTGATTAGCTATCTTGTCCATAATACTATGTTAAACGAAGAAAAGTCTATTTAAGACTTTCAAATTAAAGCTCCAGACGAAGACTTGTATTTTAAATATAGACTTTGTATGTAACAACTCATTCACAACAATGTAAGATATGGAAGTTAATAACAATAAAGATTCAATTTATCAAGGTAAAAAAATAGCTTACCAGTTACTTTCTCTTACAAAACACAAAATACGTAAGTTTACAAAAAAAAAACTATTTAATATATATATATATATATATATTTTTTTTTTAAATCTCTTACTTTTATTTAATATATATATATATATATATTTTTTTTTTAATTTGTTGTAATAAAATTCTATATCAATGTGTACAAGGAATAAAGAATAAAAAACATAATAAAATAAACTCACAAAACCTGTTCCCAAATATGGATTATTATATAAAGAGGAAAAAAAAATTGTGAAAGATTACTATGAAAAACACGTATAATTTTGAAATTGACACGTGATGATTCAGACTTTCTCCTAAAGACTTCATGTGAAAAAGAAATCCGCATGCACAAGAAAATCATAGAAAACAAGCACATATAAAAAACAAACACAGTTTATTTTGAAACCCATATTGAATATCAGTTTTAACAAAAAATAAAGAAAGAAATAAGTTACTGTTATAAATTATAATTAACAATTTAATTATATATAACCTCAATATCAGTTTACATTCATAACTAATAAAAATTTGGATAATTAACCAAAATCTACCCATAATTAGAAGGTGGATATATAGCTGGATGGTTGAAAAACGAATACAATTTATTGTAAAAATATTTTTCTCGATTTCATCAAGGAATGATAACAAATTAAAAACTTATGAAATAAAATAAACACAGAAATATTTATATGACATGCAGATTTTAGTCATGGTAGAAATATTCCTTTTCTATTTAAAGTTATGTAATTGAATAATAATAAGAATTAAAATATTATTATAAAGAGTTAATTAATATTATGAAAGGAACAATATTAGATAGTAAAAATCAATCATAAATTAACAATTGTAAAATATTAAAAATTATTCTAATTACATATAAATTCGTTTTTATTAATTTTTAATCTATTAATTCCTGTTTGTTATAAACTATTTTCTTCGTGTACATCAATTTATATAATGTGTATGGATGGTTAACAAAAATAAGTATGCAATTTCTAACTCGATGTTCTATTTCATTTCATATTCAAGATTGTAATTAATTTAAATAATTGACCTGTTATCAGTTTCTTTAAATAATGTCTAGTTTGAATGAGATAATCTATTATCAGTTTCTTTATATCAAATCGCAATTTGAACATGATCTGCAGTTTAGGAATTGCAAATTTGTATGAATATAACTCGTAATACATCTTATAGTGTTCATAAACTCATAATATAACTCGTGCTATTTCGTGGGTTATACATTAATTATCACCAACAGAAAATTAAAGATGTTTATCCAAGATAGTTGCATTCTTGGGCAGTTTAACATATACTTAGTTTTGATCAACAAAGAGAAATATATAACATTAATCATCAAAGTTACGTTAATGCTATTGGGTAGCATCTTCAGAAAACCTTGCATCAAACGCAGCTGAGGGAGGGGAAAGAGCCGAACTAGCCGAACTAGTTCCAGAACCATGCTGCAATTCAATCACAAGCCATCGAACTGCTTTACTCATCTGTTCCAACCGAACTGCACTTATGGGAGGAAGACCAGTCATGGTAGCTTGTCCAGGTTTTCCTGCTACTGGCCTTGTTGCCTCGTCCACCAGACATTCGGATCCTATCCTTTGCTTCACAGACTCTACAAACTCCTCAGCTTGATCACATGCTACTCGAAACAATTCCCACTTCTGCTTAAAGTTCTCTAGAGCAGTATCGGTTGCTGTTGTTTTAATGGAACCGGCATTTTCTTTGGCCTCTAACACATTGGCAGCGGCAGCAACAAAATCTTGATAGGCATTATTCAGGGAATCAACTACGCTGTCCATTGTGCCTGAAATTCTAAACTTTTTAGATCCGAAGGGAAGTAAAGCCCGATGAAACTAAAACTCAAGAACAATAGCCACTAATATCTCAAACTATATTTGTATCCTAGCCTGATCTTGTTTACTGGCATATTTATATGTAAGACTAAGATATCATTATAAAATATGAATTAGAGAATTATCAAAAAGGGAAGGTGGAGGGAGCAAAAAAATTACTTGTCATGAATCTAATACAATAAATCCGCCAAATGCTCATATTATATATTTAAAATTATGAGTCCCGTATGTTCAATAGGATAATTTATATATCCCTTGTGATCCAAGACGAAAATGAGAATTGACTCTATCATAAAAGACACTCTTATTAGCACCCGAAGTAAGAATTGACTAGAAACAGTAAACATAGTCCATAACAACCGTTCAGCATAAATAGTAATTGGTTGAGGCACATTCTTATGGCATAGACATTGAACTGGTCTTCTCAAAAAAGGCATCCTGATTGATATGGCTGTTATCACCAGATTGATCAGCGGCATTCTTATGGCATACACAATGCACAAAATTAATAGAGGTATTAATACAATTTATCCACTTACTCATTGAATCTCATCGGCCTATTACTATGATGTCAGGTGCAAATTAGGAAAATAAACTAATAGAAAAGCATAACACAAATTATTTTAGTTTATCTGACCTAGCCACATTAATTTTTCTTGGTTTGAGGCAATACAAAGAAAAAAGCATCATACACAATCCCAATTTGTACTGGATAAGAACAATCCTTACTGTACCTCTAAATCACACCAAGAAAACATATATCATAGGCAATTCAAGATGGAGAACGCATATCAGCTGAGAGAAACCGTTTTACTTACGTGAAGAGTGTACAGCCACGTTTGACTGTGGCCGAATCCGTGCGCGTGTGCTGTGAGAGTTTTCCCCGTCAACGAACCCTAATTAACCAACACCTGAAACGAAAACTCCAATCTTATATTCCACCCCTTTCAAGTTTATTTTTTTATTTATTTTCGAGATAAGTGAATAGGCAGATTAAGATTTAAGATAAAAAGTAAATAAAATACTAAATAATGATAGATTCTTATGTAATAAAACTAGTTGAATATCTGTGCTTTATATTTTTGAACTTTTAATATATTAATATGTTATATTTTATTTTTTCAAAGACTATATATTAATAAATATAATCTTTAAAATTTGTAATGCATCTTATGTGTATTTGCATATCCAATTATAATTCATTTTATGTGTATCTGTAATTTCCTTTAATAAATTGTAATTTTACGCACATATATAAATATAATTTAACTAAATGATTGTATTTTAAAAACTAATAATTGATACTGAGAAGACCACTCATCGAAAACACGAAAAGAACACAATAAAAAAAGAAAAAATAATTACATATAATAATTTTATTGTTTTATAAAAACAATATAAAGTAATAAATTTAGTCAAAAAAATATAAATTATATTCAAAACTGATATATATATATATATATATATATTTTTTTTTTAATTATTTTATTTATTTATTTATTTCTAAGATCATTGAAAACTTTAAGTAATATACAGTGCAATCTTTAAATTTAAATATTTAATATTTAAACATTCATATCATATATTTTGAAAATATAAAAATATTACCGATAAATTGAATAAATCACCCTCACCATATCACACCCTCTCCCGATAAAATGAACAATCTCACTTTTGAATAAATAACACACCGTGCGGCAACAATAAGCTGCAACTCAATTAGGAATAGAGGGTCTTCTGGACGAATACCCTGGACGTCGACGAGCACGCGGTCGCAGATCTCGACCATCTTCTGAGGTCTTCTCAACCTAACGCCCTCCGCCCCGGCTTGCACGCCTCTTCCGTGACGAGCCTCCTTCCACCTCCGCGACGACCCAATGAAATGAATGGTTTTACTTTCAAATAAATTACACACCGTGCGGCAACAACAAGCTGCAATTCAACTCCCGAATATCCGATAAACTCTAACGGCCGAATCGCCGGAGCCTCCCTTGGTTCACCACAGGCCCAGACACTGTTCCGTTCTGCTGAATTGAATACCGTTCGCGGCGAGGAAACCTAATTTGTGAATTTCACTTTTCTTAAGGGGACGAAGAGGAAAGTTGCAGAGTTGAATAGGGTTGGTGAAGTTTAAATAGGATTAGAAGGCACAAGAAGAAGACAGTTATCAGAATTGATTTTGCTGAAATTGTGTTCTGGAGCTGCTGTGATGAGTTCGTGTTGAATTGGGTTACATTTTGGATAGCTCTGGTCAGACAGCATGGGTTACGATTCGGCTAGCCCCTCGCAGGATGGGAGGGACGAAGGTAAGCTTTTGCAATGAAATTTGGGGAATAGTAGATAAAGAAGTGGCAGGAACAGGGAAATTAAAAAAGAAGAGAGGAAAAAGAAATAGCTACCATAGGGTTTTACAGGGTTGCATAATTGGATGTATAGTCTAGTTGTTCTGTTGCTGTCGGCTCGGAACATGATTTCGTTTGCTTGTTCTGGCTGTTTGTTATCATATTTAAGTTTTCCTCTCTTTAATATTATGTTTAGAATTGGGAGTAGGGTTGAAATGGTTAGGCCTATATTTAAGTTAGTGTCTATTTGCTGAAATGGGATATCTGTAAGCTGAAGTTCACGTGGGAGCTGTGGTGGTGTTCTTTTTTGTAGTATGGTTTGTTGTTTGGTTTAGTTTGTTAACTCCATGTCTGATGAATTTGAAATGATAGACGATGAAGAAGAATATGAGGAGTCTGGCAAGGATAATCGATTCCTTGGGTTCATGTTTGGAAATGTAGATAATTCTGGTGATCTCGACGTTGACTATCTTGATGAGGTAATTTTATGCCGTCTTTGATGTTGCATTTGAGTTTGTTTTTTTTACACGTTTGGAATGTCAGGATTGAGCTGATGCATCTATAAATCATGCTTAGACTTATTTGTTTTAGTTTTTTTGACTCGTCATAGTGTTACTGGTATCTAGCTTTACTCTACATCTTATATAGTTATCCAGCCCGAAGCTCCTGAAATTTCTAAGCTATTATAGATTTATAATTGGTAAATAGAGGATTTTAAGTTACTAGATTTTTATTTTGGGAGATTTAAAGACGCTATATTTGAGATTTGTACTTTGTGGGGGACTTTTACCAAAGACGTGCATTGTAAATTCTCAAAATACATAAAAAGGAATTTTGAAGCGTGTGTTGTTCAGTACGGATGTCTAAAGTCTAAACTAACAATTTATGCGGAATTCAATTTTGGAGGATCTTGTGCAAACCGCAAAGATTTATTTATTATTTGCTATATGTGTGTTTGGTTGCATGGTGGAAAGTATCAGAAGTTACTTTTCCCTCTGCAAACATCATTTCGGTGAAAATTCAAATGTTTGATTATTGTTGGATAGAATCAATTTCGCTTCCAAACCTTGGTTTGACTATAAATGATAAAAAGTAGGCTTCTGCGTTAGGTTAAAAAATTTACTTTAAAATTTTACATCAAACTTGCTTTTAGGGTAAAGATCCAAACATAAATTACTCCACTTCAAAATCATTTTTAACAAATCCAAACAATAAATTTTTTTAATTTAAATTTAAGTACTAGGCTGCTATTTATACTTTATGCCTTTAACTGCTGTCTGTGGTATGGGCATGCCGGATTATCAGTAATTCGCGGAAGGAAAAGTTGTGGGTTCTTGCTAGAAAACAATTACATCGTTTACTATATGTATTCCTGTTATGAAAATTAAATTATACTGAATGTTGAATGAGCAATTGCTTCTCGGTTTGTTTATAATTTTCTGTTTTGATGAAAAACTTTCAAGCTGGTGCTAAATAAGCATTTTTCTTCTTTAGGATGCAAAGGAGCATCTTTCTGCGTTAGCTGACAAGCTGGGTCCATCACTGACAGATATAGATGTAAGTAAATCTAAATATCTGGTTGTATTGTTTGAGTTTGGAATTCAAAATGCTATCTGTTGACGTGGTTAACAAGTGTTTAATTATCAGATTTTTCTTATATATTTCATTCCTTCCACTTCTTCTATTTTCATGATGGTGGTAATTTGTTTTTTTGCAGTTGTCAGGGAAATCACCTCAAACGCCACCTGACGTTGTTGAACAAGGTGAAGTCTGCCAGGAAAAAACTATATCATGCAGTTTTTGATATTCTGTTGGTATCATTTTTTTCCCTTATCAACTGAGAGCACTTCACCTGTGTTATATTTCTACTGGAATTCTTTCCCACATGACATATGTTTGGTAGAAAATATCATATGAAAAAACAGCTAATTGCCTTTCCTTGTCAAAAGAAAAAATTTCATACATCCTATATGAGCAATTCTAGCAATATACTAACACTCTTGTTGACTGAAATTTATTGGAAATCACAAAATTTTATATCTCCCACTTGTTATTTGATGACTCTCTCCCCTAATTTTGTAGTATATAGTATTATAAAACCATCCTGTTGCCGCCACATGTCATTTTCTTCATGCAATTGGGCCAACTTTTTTCTCTCTTTTCTTTTTTCCTTTACCATTTCTCACTCTCTCATTTTCTCTCTACTGCTCTTGCGCAAAGCACAGACTCATTTCTAGTTTTAATAAATTTTAGTCAATAGTAGAGTATGTGTTAAAAGAATGTTTAGCTAACATTCCTCACATATACACATATGTGCGCGCCACACACCACATATATATCCTCCACAGTGTTGGAGGATTAGAGTTGACACTTATTGGTGTTATTCTCCATTCTGGAAAATATTTTATTAAAAAGTTGTTTTTGCAAAACTAAAACATCGGTAGTTATGGATGATGCTAGGGGTTAGTAAGGGCCAGTGACACAAATCAATTGAAGTAGATTAATAAAACAAACTGATGAAGTTTCAGTGATGGCTTGTAACTGGTATTAATGAATATGAGTGGATAATAGTAATTCATTAGCAGCCATACCGTGTCACATAGATATTGGTTGGCTCCAAAAATATGGGTAGGTGCTTCTGTCTTCCGTTTGCACCATAATGAATTTCCGTAGGTAGCCAATATGAATTGATTTAAGAAATACTTTATTGGACCTTTTCTGGGATTTGATCAGCAGAGGATATTAAGGTTTTATGCAGTTGAGCTTTTTTTATGGAGGTTTTATTGCATTTCAAAGCACAATGCAAGAAAATTACTCTGAGTGGCTTCTGCTAGTAAATTGTATTTGGGTTAAGGATTAGTTTCCATGTTTTTGTGTGTATGGATTTGTGTTCCTTGTGTACAAGGTGATTCTCACATGACTTACGGTCAGTTTGGAGAAACTTCTTTACAAACACTCCTAGGATGGAAAAAGTAAAAGAAAAATGAAATAAGTTTTTCCATACGTTAAAATTAACTTATGAATAAGTTAATTTGTATAAATTATTTCCTATTAGCTTCTCCAAAATATGATTTTTAACTCATGCATAAGCTGATTTTAGCTTATGAAGAAGCTGATTTCATTTTTCCTTCTTATTTTCTCACATAGAAGTGCTAACCAAGAGGTTTTCTTCTAAAATTCCCACACGGAGTCCCAAAGTATATCTCCTTCATAGGGCATTTGTTATTTAGTTAATTTTTAATTGTTGTTTTCTGTTGGGAGGATTCCGGACCCTTTGGATCTAACATTTCTTCTTCCTTGGAAATTTTATTTGATAAAGCTAATTCACATCAAGGGCATTTGTTGTCTGTAAAATAGTTTGAATTTGACACAGTGAAGATTTGTTTAAAAGAGCAATGAAAGCGGTCTCTTTTCCCCCTCTTCTGTAAAATAGTTGACTAACATCAATTTTTTTAATGTCAGATTGTGATGAAAAAGCTGAAGATGCAGTTGATTATGAAGATATTGATGAAGAGTATGATGGTCCAGAGACAGAAGCTGCTAATGAAGAAGACTATTTATTGCCAAAAAAAGAATTTTTGTCTGCTGAAGCATCTGTATGTTTGGAATCCAAAGCTTCTATCTTTGATGATGAAAATTATGATGAAGAATCTGAAAAGGAGCAAGACTCTGTGAATGAAGATTCTAAAGTTAATAACATCTCCTTAGCTGGTAATATGTTCTTACACGAATTGCTCTACCACTTTGTTTTTTGTGTGCTTATAACTTACAACATGGATTTACATGTTATGTTGGTTTTACATAGAAAAGTACAAGAAAGATTGATTCTTGTAATCCAGCTCTAGAGCATTTTATCTACAGCCTTGTTCAGATTTTGGCTGGAGACAGATTTTCTGTTGTCATGATTATGCTTTGACTTTTTACTTTGTTAATTTTTTATGGCTCTCCTTATTTTGCACCTTAAAGATAGTTATCTTTCACTTTCACTGACGACAGTTTTGGAAGTAGATGTTGTTTGATTCCTAGGTTGTCTGTTAGGCATTTCGTTCACTACCATGTGATTGTTTAATCACATCCAGTGTGTTTTACCAGCTGAAACTGGATGATTTGTTTGCATTCTGTTTGATGCATGCAATTTAGAAATTGAATGTGCATGAGTGCGAGGGTTGGTTCTTTATTGACCCAAGCTTGAATTGATTTGTATTGGGCTCATATGCCTGTGAGCTTGTTGACTGAGAATTAGTGGGTAGATTATACAATAAATTGTCATTCTAATAAATTTAGTTTAGCTCAAATTGATTATATGTTGATTAATACGAAATTAAACTCGATCCTAAATTTGAAACTTGAATAATCTGCTTGAATTTGAATATAATTATTAGAATTGAGATTGGAATGAGCCCATCAAGATCAACTCCAACCAATATAGTCAAAATCGCGTTCCAACTCATAGAATAGCACAATTTAACGTTTTTGTCATGCCTTAGTGAGTTCATCCATGGTCTTAATTGCTACGGAACAATGTTGGTAGACTTGCAGTGTAAAATCCTAAAAACGGTGTAAACCTAAGCCCATAGAACCCAAGCTCCAAAATAAACTTTTTTGTAACCCCACACTAGCAATAGAGTAAACCACTTTTCTTTAATCCAAGCCCCAATACAAACTGTTCACTTGACACTACTACATTACTTTAACTTGCTTTGTCATTTATACTTATGTTGAGTTATGTATGATGTTTAGTCATTGACTTTAATATTATTATGATTACAAATTTAAGCTTAATTAAATATTTGGTATCTTACATGGGTTTTTCTTCTCTTATTTATTTGATGTTATATACATATATATGGATTTTATATATTTTGTACGATCTTAGTTTCGTGTTGCGAACAATTTATGATTATGCATTCTTTTACGAGTCTAAGTAAAATCTTGAGTTTAACTACCTTGACTCCAACTGGTAGCTAAAGGGGAAAGGATTACCCTAATCTTAGTTATAAGAGTACTTTGACCATATACCTAGTTGATGTGTATGATAAAGTAGGTTTAGATCTAACTCAATCTTATAAAACCAATTTGTAATGTAAAAATTCCCCACTTATACACTGCATCTTGACACTATGATAGGTTTTGATAGCATGTTAAAATGAGAGTTTAAGCCAAACTTTACCCTCCAAAACAGGCTTGTGAGAAGATGATTGTCTCACTTACATACTATATTTTTACAGTAATACCATCTTAAAAAGTATGTTTAGACAAACTCAACCTTACAAAACCAACATGTAAGCTGTGGATAACCCCCATTTATATTCTGTATTTTGACACTATTTCTAGTCAACTATGTGGGATCTTAACAAAACCTCTTTCATGCCCTGGGTCAGACATGTGGTGTATGAAGTTTGCATGACTGTTCCTACGTTTGTCTCAACTCAAGGCCATATTAAAACTGAGAATGGACAGCGCCAAACTATCACAAAAGCTAGCTGAATGGGATGTCCGAGTCTTCAGAAAGAGAACTTTGACTATATACTTAGCATGCTAGCCAATGTTGGATCTTTACACTAATAACTTTGTGTTTGATCTATTGTTTTAATACCTTGTCTTTCAGCACAACTCAACAACTAATGATTCTGTGAGGGTTCAAGCTTGAAAATCTTAGGAAATAAAATAAAAAATGCTTGTTTTCCTTAATAAAAGTTAGATGTACCTCATTTCATATTTGAATCTTGCAGTTCACATATACTAGCTTTGTTCTTTCAGAGGAGCAGGAAGAGAGTTTTGTAGATGCATCTAAAGAAGAGAGTACTCTTGAACATGAATTACATGTTGACTCACTGCAGACTGAAGAATTGGATGCCGATGTACAAAAGATTGAGGAGGTATATTTCAGTTTTGCTACCTTTTAAACATTTCTTTTTGCCTTTTGATGTTTATTCTTGTTGAAATTGTAGTTTTGGGTCTAAAGGGAGGGAAAGAAGATAAAAGAGGTTGAATTCACCTTGATCGATATTTGATTTGATTTTGTATAATGTGTTAGAATATTGTATAAAATTTAAAGCACCATCCCTTATTTATTCTTGTACTAAATCATGATCTGTGAATCCCTGCTAAATGAAGAAATACATCATAAAAAATTAAGAATTTGGAAACTAATCCTAAGAGATAAGATATTCAATGATACTATGTAGATATCATTGGATATTCTTCATATGTTCTAACAATTCTCATGCACGATAACTCAGTCCTGTACTTTTTCTGATGATTAATTGAATATATGTACTGTTTTGACTCTGCAACCATATACCTTAAAGTTGTATAGTGACTTACTGTTAGATTACTTGTAGTCAGTCTTGCAGATGAAAATATAATTAAATTTAACTATAAAGATAAAACATTGAGGATGGCTTAGTTGATATTTTTGTGGACTTGTTTAAAGAGGGTTGATTTTCTGATTAATAAGCAGGGTAGAAGAACATTTTCTGTTATTAAGAAAACTGATTGATCTTGATACAACTTGTTAATTCCTTTATACAGTATGAAATCCTAACTAGAAATAGGAAATCACTAAAATCATTAGGAACATGCAGCATAGGATGTCGATTCAGTTTGGTGCTTAATTGATTGTGAAAGGCTAAAGAAGGATGGGGGAAGAGTATGGGAGAGAGAATTTCTCTGTGATGTATGCATCAACTTGATGATGAGCTTGGCTACCATGTGTCTGTGTATACTATTAATTCTGATGTATTGCAGAGTGTAGTACCCTGGTATAAGCCTAGCCAATTAGTAATGCTCACACGAAATATTCTCTTAACATTGATGATAATTATTGTTGATAGGATTATAAGAGTTTTAAGCTTGATGTTCTATTGACATGTTAATGTCTTAATTGATGAAACAAACAGGAAGGGCCTGAGGTTCATAAGAGGTCTATGCCATTGCCTGTTTTATGTGTGGAAGATGGTGTGGCAATTTTACGCTTCTCTGAAATCTTTGGGATTCATGAACCTCTTAGAAAGGGAGAAAAGAGAGAGCATCGACAACCTATTCCTAGAGGTAATTGGAGATTGGAAATGTTTACCTGAATCTTGTTTTCATGTGTCAGAGTCCGTTAAATTTTCCAGGAGAGGTATGGGTAGAAAATTAAAATTGTTATTACCCAATTTATACTGTATGTGAGTGAAATTTTGGGTTGTCAATGGTGAGATTTAAATGGAAAAATGAATGCTATCTTTTTGCAGTGAGGCTTCTGTTCTAATTTGCCTTTTACCACTTGTGTTTACAGATAGATACAAGTCTTTGGATTTAACTGATGATTTTATTGAAGAGGATGAAGAGGAATTCCTCAAGGGCTCCTCCCAAAGTCTCTCACTTACTGAACAGGTTGCTGTAGTTAATAATGATGTATCAGAAAACAATGATGTTGACTCGGAGTTTCCAAAATTTGGATTTCTTCATGCTGAGCCCTCGGTGTCCAGGAAAGATGATCATCAATCAAAGGACTTGTGTCTTAGTGCTGAACCAATGAAAGGGGATTTTGAAGAAGACCTTTCCTGGAAAGATCATCCCTTCATATGGGGCAACTTTTATCCTCTTGATCAGCAAGACTGGGAAGATGAAATCCTTTGGGGCAACTCTCCTGTTCCAAGTAATAATACAAATGAAAGCTGTGAAATTTCTGGACCTGAGTTGGGAGCTTCTGCTGGCAGTGAAATAGAAATTGAAAGTGGGATCCAGAATATTCAGATTGAGGCTCAGAAGATATTGGAAGATAAAGATCATAATGTCTTGTGCAGTTCTCCTGTCTCATTGGAGCCCTTTGGCTCAGGGGATTCTTCTGGAGCTAAAACCAATTTAATATCCAGAAGTCTATTTCACCCCCAACTTTTAAGGTTAGAATCCAGATCTGAAGTGGATAGTTCTAGTCTTGCTGATGGAAAAGAAGGGGAGATATCTAAGTATAGTCAAAGTGGTCAAGTAAAGCGTTTTAACAAGATTATATCACAAAACAGAGACATGATGGAGGATTCCTGGTTAGACAAGATAATCTGGGAGGAGCTTGATCAGCCTATGGTGAAACCAAAGCTTATCTTTGATCTTCAGGATGATCAGATGCACTTTGAAGTTTTGGATAGTAAGGATGGTGCACATCTTCGCCTTCATGCTGGGGCTATAATTTTAAGTCGTTCTTTAAAATCAAGCAGTGGGGACTCTTCTGAACTACCAGGACATGGAAGTCAATATGGATGGCGATATGTTGCTAATGACAAACATTATTCAAACCGTAAAACTTCTCAGCAATTGAAATCAAATTCCAAAAAACGCTCAGCTCATGGTGTCAAAGTTTTCCACTCTCAACCTGCACTGAAGCTTCAAACAATGAAATTGAAGTTGAGCAAGTAAGAATTTAATTTTTTGGAGGAGGTAACATTTTTGGTTAGTAGCATTTGTTACCTGTTTTGAGGCATTCTTGTTTAGAAATTATATTTCTTAAGATGATTTTTTGGTAAGATTGTATATGCAAGCTTGATTGATGTTTGTTTGGCTACTAGATACCGAAAATGGTGAGTGCACTCTATTTCCAAATGTTATGGGTTTTCTATTTCTCTTGGCTTTATGCACTATTCTTGAATAATATAACTAAAGTCCACAGTTTTTGTCGAAGCAGGTTCTTTTGGAAAAATTGTATTTATTCATCTGTCTCAGTTTAGGTGAACTTTTATTGGTACCACTTAACTGAATAGATTCCATGATTTGTGGACAAGTTACTTGATTCATAATCTTCTTGTAGGTTTCTCGTGTATATGATTTTTCCATAGTGTACCATTAAATGGATCTCATTGCACACACAGTTACTCTTAATATAAAGTACAAGTGTGTAGTTCAATACTTTTTTCACTGATTAATTTATCCAACTAAACCCCACACTTTATACTTGTTAGAATAATTATTATATTAGGGAGATAACTTGTTTGAGAGAGCCCGATCTATGGGCAAAATTATAAACACGTTGAATATCATTGACAAAATTATAAAGTATTGCAAGTCTTGAAGGACCTAAGAGTGTCATATATATTGGGTTACAAATTGTCACTGGCACAAAGCTGAAAATCATCCTTCCTCCACTTCTCTGCTTTTTCTGATGGAACTTTACTTTAAAGCTAAAACTCATCCTTCTTCCACTGTTCAACTTTGTGTCTGATGGAACCTTACTCCCATCTTCTTTCAAGTGATCATGATAGCCTTGGTCAATGAACTAAAGTTCAATTGAGGCTGACCAAGAAAGATAATTTTTTCCATTTAGTTTCTTGTAGTAGGAGGGAGTTCTTGAGAAGGAGGTGGTAGGTGCAAAAGACATTTTGAAAATAGAGATTGTAGTGACTAGTCAATATGTAGATACTGTCCAGTAATTTCAGAGCAAAAGAAAACAGTCAATGAGGTCCTCCAAGTGCTTAAAACCAAGTAACCAGCAAATCACAACCAGAAACAACAAATACACCCAACCAATAAGGTGCTTAGAACAAGTACTGACAGACCAACAACAGATCCCTATAGCCACACCAGCAGGGAGAGAGAAAGAGAGGGACCTCGGAGAGGTGGAGGAGGCCTGGGAGGGAGGTAGGATAGATGCACCTTAACCAAGGTTGGGAAGCACTATTTAAGGGTCATAACTAAGAATAGGAGGGCTGGTGACCAGAAGGTGGCATGTGGCTCTCATGCGCCAAGGAGCAGCAAACAAGGATGCTGCGCATAGAGGTGGTGGGGATGATTCAGGTTGGCTGTCATGCTGTGTGACAGTCCAAACCTGGTACCTGTCCGAAGGAATGACACACGGCAAACAATGGCGAATAACAGCAGTTTCATTGTATTTTGAGATGAAGCATACCAGACCTTTGTTGGAGAAAAAGGAATATAACAGCTGGTGACAAACAACGATAGATGGTGGTGGACAACCACAAAACCACTGGACAAAACAAATAGAGTAGGATCGACCCTTTCTAATATCTTATTAGCAATGAAGAGGTGTCTAACTTAACCCTATAAAACTGACTTATAAGGTTAGGTTTGTACTTCAATTTTATATTATAAATTTGTCATATTTCTAGTCGATGTGAGATTCCTTACACTGAGGAATAAATCTCTAGAGAGCGTGAAACTGAATATTAAGATGGTCCGATAGCAGCTTGATTACGAATGGAGTGATAAACTAACAAATCTCGTTATGTATGACTTCAGTACCAACTTAAGATTGAAAATGTGAAAAATAGCTTAAGAGATACTTGAACGTCTTAGATGATGCATATATTCATGGTAAAGGTGCACCCAAATTACAAAGAGTACAAATGAAAAGGGTTACTCCTACATGCTAGAAGCTAATAAGTGAAAGCAGCTTGTAAGTCGGATAAGTTAACCTATCTAATAATTATTATAAAATTCCCTTCAATTTAGAGGAGCATGCAGATTGTATGTACACAACTTGGAACAGATAATCTGAATTCAAGGTCCTTGGAAGGATTTTGTTAAGATATCTACATGCTTAATCATTGAAATTGACAAATGCTATGTAAATTTCCTTGTTCAACCATTTCTCTCAAACAAAACGGGAGTCAATCTTTATGTGTTTAATTCACTCATTAAAGACAAGATTGGATGTAATATGAAGACCTATTTAATTATCACAATACATTCTCATTTGCAGAATTCCACAAAAATTAAGCTCTTGGAGGAATTGCCATTGTTCTATACTCAGTTTTGACCTAGATCAAGCAACCACATTCTGATAAGTTAACCTATCTAAACAAGTTACCTCCCTAATACAGTAATTATTTTAACAATACTTAACAACCTTTGTCTCATTCTCCAAACAAAAAATGTGTATATTTGCACTCTTGTCATTTTAAGCCTTTTTTTTTCATTTGAGTCATTGACACTTTTTTCATTTTACACCATAACTATTTTCTGTCTGTCAACATAATTCCTCATCTATGGTCCAACTTCCATTGTAATAACATACCTAGAGAAATCTCCGAATCATAGAGCTTTGGATGATTTCCACCAGCTACAGCTTGAGGTAGATAAAAAGATTGATCCTTGAAGTTTGAGAAGAGACTCTTTACAATTTGACCTGTGCTTCAAAAATGATATTGCTAAACAAGAAAAGACTTTGGCTCCCATGCTACCATTAGAGAATGTCTCTTTGCATTTAAAGCTTTTAACCTAGCTCACTATTTCTATATTAGCTCATAAACAGTCCCCAATAGACTAGTCCATCCGTTGATCTGTTAGTTGCCCATAACAATGTCGAGATTTCTTGTCATTTTATCAAGTTTTTGCAAAACCTTTACTGATTTGTGTGTGAGCCATGCCAGTCTTTAATTTAGTTGGCACTTTAATATCTAATTGTCTACATGTGCATGGTAGATTCTCTGTCATTATAATCTTACCAACTCTTTTTGCAGTAAAGATATTGCGAATTTTCACCGGCCAAAAGCATTATGGTATCCCCATGACAATGAGGTGGCTGTCAAAGAACAAGGGAAATTGCCAACACAAGGACCTATGAAGATTATTATAAAGAGTTTGGGTGGCAAGGGGAGTAAACTGCATGTCGATAGTGAAGAAACTCTCTCTTCTGTGAAAGCAAAAGCTTCCAAAAAGCTAGGTTGGGAATTTTTTTTCCTCTATGATAAATCATCTTATGTGATGGATTTAAAATCATAATAAGGCTGATCTGAGTTTTTTTTTTTTTTTTTTCTAGATTTTAAAGTATCAGAAACAGTGAAAATATTTTATTTAGGGAGGGAGCTTCAAGATCACAAGTCACTTGCTGAACAAAATGTTCAACCAAACTCCTTGTTACATCTTGTTCGTACAAAGATACATTTGTGGCCAAAAGCACAAAGGGTTCCCGGTGAGAACAAGTCTTTGCGTCCTCCTGGGGCATTCAAGAAAAAGTCTGATATGTCGGTAAAAGATGGACATGTTTTTCTGATGGAGTAAGTGACTTGAAACTTTTATCCTGCTATTACTTGGGGGCAGAGATAAAAGAAAATGAAGCATTGAATTAATATTAAGTAAGATGTATTACAATATATTGTTGTATTTGGTATATTCTATGTATTTGCTAGCTTTGTGTATGTGGTTTGCTTGGAGCTATTTTTTACACGAGTTTGTGTTCAAATCACTATGGGGTCTATCCCTTTAATTTATTTCTAGGTGACTTGAATTTGCATAATATTTTATTTGTTTGCATCTTAACAATGAGGACAAGTCATTTTCTTTGTATATTTTTTAGTTTTTAAGTATCTTAGCTCAGATATTTTTTTTTTTGAGAAAAAAGAGAAGCACAATATGGAGGGTAATGTTCTCCAAAACAAATAAACTGAATAAGAAAGGGGGGAAATGTCTTGGTATATTCTATACTAATCTTGAGCAGAGATTGTATTACATTAGAGAAGCCATTGGTTGGTATTGCTTATGCTTACATTCGTGGTCAAGTAGCATGTAGTGCGTTCTTTCCACTCTCTATTTTATATTTGTTGGGTTATTCCAAATTTCTCTCTTTTCCCCTTCCTCTCATGTGCTGGTAGTTGTGGGTGGGAGGAAGTGTTGGAAGGCTAGAAGGAGGATGTTACATGATTAAATTTGTTATTGATTTGCTTTTAGAAATGTTTCATTTTGAACATTGAGAATGACATGACATGTTACTACTTTCAGAGGTACAGTGCCGTTTTGGTGAATAGGTAACCTTCCTTCCTGAATATCTCCTAAAGCAGTAAGGCAGAAAAACTTTTTCATGCCTGATAGTTGAACCTACTCAGCTTTTATTTCCACATATTACTGACTCTAAACACGTTTTTTTAACACTAATATATTGAAGAGCAATGATGTTTTAGCGATTGACTTTCATGTGTTTTTAATTTGTTGCCTGCAATGGGGATACTACTTTGTTTTTCTTTCAGACTTCACAAACTGAATGAGGATTGTAGATACTGCATTAGGACTGTTGGTAGTTTGTTTTTTGCTAGATGTTAGTTAGCTAGCTGGTATGTTACTAATGCCAACTGTCAGTAACTGTTTTGTAACTACATTTACACACTATAAATTCCAGCTCTACTTGATCAATCAAATAAAAAGAATTCAGTTTATAATGAGTGTTCTAACAGCATTGAATATGTTCTCTTTGTAGGTATTGCGAAGAAAGGCCTTTACTTTTGAGCAACGTTGGAATGGGTGCAAGACTTTGTACATACTATCAAAAATGCTCACCGGATGACCAATCTGGTGCCTTATTACGCAACACAGATGGTAGCTTGGGGCACATTATTGCTCTGGATCCTGCAGATAAATCTCCTTTCCTTGGAGATTTGAAACCTGGTTGCAGTCAGTCATCACTTGAGACAAATATGTATAGAGCGCCAGTATTTCCTCATAAAGTTCCACTAACTGACTATCTGCTAGTTCGCTCATCAAAGGGAAAGTTATCATTAAGGCGCATTGATAAAATTAATGTTGTCGGACAGCAGGTTTGTAGATTCTTTTAATTATTTTTTTAGCAGTTATACTCATAATGTGTTATTAATCTTGATAAACGTCTCCTTGTTTGATACTGTAATTTGCCTAACAAGTTCCAAAGCTAACTCTGAAAATTTCACGATCGAATCAATAACAGTACAATTTATATTTGTGATTTGTGCTCATTTGTTTTTAAATTTCTCTTTGCAGGAGCCACTCATGGAGGTATTTTCTCCTGGAAGTAAAAATCTTCAGACTTACATGATGAACAGGCTATTGGTACACATGTGCCGAGAATTTCAAGCAGCAGAGAAGCGGCACTTGCCTCCTTATATCCGGGTTGATGAATTCTTGTCACAGTTTCCTTACCAATCAGAAGCGTCATTCCGTAAGAAAATAAAGGAATATGCCAATTTACAGGTATAAGAGGATCACAAAGCTTGACATCTTCCAAGCCAACCTATAAGAAATGGATGCTTAATAAAATTCTGTAGGGCTTGATTGGTTTATTACATTGTGTTCTGTTTTCATTTCTTGTTTTCAGAAATTATTACAAAAAAGTTAACATTGTTTTCTCTCTTTTTTATATTTTGTTTTCAAAGATTTGTATAGAAACAGTGAAATAACAATTCTTTTCATTGTTTTCTGTACAGGTTTTGAAAACAAGAAATAAAGTAAAAACAAGGTGAATTTTTTGTAATTATTAATGAAAATAGAAATGAAAAATAAAATAAAATATTTTCTCCAATGAAACTAGTCCTCATATTTCAAAAAATAGAATTTTTTTTTATATTCGAATTACTATCTATTGCTTTTTCTGATTATGTTTTCGGTATACCTGAATGAAACTCATTTAATAAATATCTATTGCTGCAGAGGGGAGCCAATGGACAGTCAATTTTGGTTAAAAAGAGAAATTTTCGCATGTGGTCAGAAGATGAATTGAGAAAAATGGTTACACCAGAGCTTGTGAGTTATATCACCACATTCAGTTTTTTATTTATAATTTAAAATATCTGTCTGTTGAAATGTAATAGTAAAAGAAAATCATATTTAAAATATTCCATGGAGGTTTGGAGCTTCTAAAACTTAATCCCTCATCCATACAATTTGTAGAGTTATTTTTGGTTCATGCTTTTGCGTTGTTAAAAAAATGAGGCTTCATTAAATAACAAAGCATTTTATTGGACGCTCAATGTGGTTCTGTATGCTTACCTTGTATTGCTTTTTGTGATTTGCTAAGTTTGACGGTCCATAATCTACATGATGCATAGCTTGGGATAAAGTGAATTAACTGCTTGTGAATCCTTGTCTTGAATTTGGTACTTTTGCCTTATTGTTTCTTGTAAGATGTATTCTGTTATATTTCTTCTTTTAATATGATTCCTTCTTTTTCTTGTATTTATTTTAATTGTTTCAGGTTTGTGCCTATGAAAGCATGCAAGCTGGCCTCTATCGACTAAAACATTTAGGAATAACTGAAACACACCCTACAAATATTTCATCTGCAATGAGCCGGCTTCCTGATGAAGCAATAGCATTGGCTGCCGCATCACACATTGAGAGGGAACTGCAGATTACTCCTTGGAACTTGAGTAGCAATTTCGTTGCTTGTACAAGCCAGGTGATCTATGTTAAATCTGATTTGAGTTTATTTGGCATTGGCATCTATCCTGGTTCTGTGTTGAAAATGTGTTAACATATTTCCATTTTGATTATTTTGAGGGTAGAAGTGATAATGGGATTAATAAGTAAAAATAAATTAAGGCAGGAAAATTTAAAGAAAGAATAGATGTATTTGGCATCGGGGATGCACTGACTACTGTATGCAATGATCTCATTGTTGGTTTTGTCTGATGTAAGCTTTTAACTTCACCATAAATGATTTATGGACTTGTGTAGGTCATTCATACATTTGCACTAATTTATAATTTTATACATGAATTTGAAACTTGAAAACGTGCTATTGTTTTTCACTAAGAATCTTGTGCCATGGCCTGAGAATTTGATAAATAAAGAATATTTTAACATATACTTAACTACACAAGTTTAGACTTGGTCCCTCTTTTTTTTGTTTCATGCCCATTAACTCCCTGTGTGCATAAAATAAAGCAAAATGGGTTCTTCTGCTAACAAACCCCTCAATTCCAATTTTCTATTCAGTAATTATTTGGAGCTATTTTAAACCTTTTTTAATTCAATACTCACCAGCTAAATTTTCAAATTTTCCCTCTTCAAATTATGAATAATCCCACATCTTATAAAACTCTTCTGATTTGTCAAAATTTCACCTAAATTTATGACTTCTAAACTCTTAAAATTGTTTCAAATCCTAAATATATTAATAGTCGATAAATGTTTGATTAAAAATTAACTGAGAATTGATCTTTAACAGAGCTCAATGGCGGCATGTTAAAACTTTAGTTGTTGTATTTGGATTGAAAATAAAAATTTTAGGGTTTGTAGTGGAAGAAAAGCGAAGGCAGGATCAAATTATCTTAATTTTTTTAAATAGACAAACTCAATTAACTCAAAAATATTGATGAACTAAAATCATAGTCCTAACTAAAGGGATAAAAAATGCAATTAAGCCAATAAAATATAAAAGAGAAATATCAATGCAAAAGGATAAACATTTTCTTATCCCCTTTATCTCCCCATCCCTTAAAACCAAAAGCTTCTCTTTGTACGTTTTGACCTGTCATTTCATTTATATGTTGCAATTTGGAAGTTGAGTAAAAAAATAGAAGTCCACTGATGTTATAAAGCTAACCTCTTAAGCTCTGTAACTGTTATGTTGATATGGTGATTGCACAAAGAGACTTGTCCTGAAAGATATTAGTTCTCCATCCTCAAGTTGCTGCAATTCTTCCATTTGTGTGGTATGAGTCTAATAAAATTTGAATGCAAGTGGAAATAGACGTTATAATTGAGTATAGAAACATGCAGCAATGGGGTTCGTGCTTCTTCTATTTACAATTGTTGTAGTGATAATTGCTTCTATTTGTAGAATTAATTTGCTGTTTTTCTTTTCAAATAGAATTATGTTTCCAGAAGATATGGATTATTATGAATTATATCATAGTTTTTCTGCACCACAATGAGTATGTTTGTTATTTTATTGTTCTAGTAATTAACTAAATTCCTCATGAGAGTTTCAACTTCTTTTGGTGAAATTTTTTTTGGCAGGGAAAGGAAAATATTGAACGGATGGAAATTACTGGTGTTGGTGATCCATCTGGTCGTGGCATGGGTTTCAGTTATGCTAGGGCACCTCCAAAGGCACCAGTGTCTAGTGCAATGGTGAAGAAGAAAGCAGCTGCTAACCGCGGAGGTTCTACTGTTACTGGTACAGATGCTGATCTCCGTAGATTAAGCATGGAGGCTGCACGAGAGGTGTGTGGTATTTTGGTGATCTGTTTTGAACTCTATATATTTATGTAAGCTATAAAGCTTGTTAAAAAGACTTTTCGAAGAGTGAAATTTTTCTTGCATATTGTACTCAATTATAAAGCTGATACTAACGAAGAATCTTGTTTCATAATGACCTGATTTACAAGCTGTACTTGAAAAATGAAAATTAGTGCAACAATATGGTTTTTCTTGCATATTGTACTCTATTGTTTTATGAATAAAGCTGATATTAATGGAGAATCTTGTTTTTGTGATGATCTGACATACAAGCTGCACTTCAGAAATGAAAATTAGTGCATCAAAATGTTTTGATATTTATTGGAGTTCTCACATTAATTAAAGATATGACCAAATTAAGATATATAAGTGGAGGGTAACCCTCATCTTATATACTAGATTTGTAAAGTTAAATTAGACCAAAATACAAATTTTAAGATAGTATCTGAATTTATCTTAATGATTGTTGCTGGACTTATCTAGTTACTCGCTCTCTGGCTATTATAATACCATCCACATTTGTCTAATCCTGGAAATTCATGCTTGATATGTTCAGTCTTGGCATGAAGGAGTATCTTGGCGATCCTACGTTGTATATAAAGATAACTAGAGGAAAGTATATAAGTGAAGGACAACCCTTACTTTCCAAGCTAGTTTTGTAGGGTTTTATTAGGCTCAAACCCAAATGTTAAGAATTTCTCAAGAATATAACAATAAAAAGGTGTCTGTCAAAAACTGTGGAAATTTTTTTCATCAATGCCTTATTCTAGTTATTCATTTACTTCAATATGAATAGACAATTATTTGACAAGTGCCTATTTGGTTGCCCTTCACTCCTTTATCCTTTTATTAAACCCAGTTATGATTGAAAACTTAAATTTGGTTCACTAAAAAATCACTTTGTCCATATTTTATTCCAAACATTAGTTTGTTTTGGTTTTCTCTCTGTATATAGTTGCTTAAGAAGCTAATTAATTTTCCACGACTCCATTTGGCTGGTTTGCTTTATTAGTATCTACTTGACTTCTGACTGCACTTATAATGATGGAATAGCATTGCATGTTTAATACGTACATTCTTGTTTTTAATCTCAATTATGCTCTTTTCCAGGTTCTTCTTAAGTTCAATGTTCCTGAGGAAGTCATTGCAAAACAAACCAGGTGGCATCGCATTGCTATGATACGTAAACTTTCAAGTGAGCAAGCTGCATCTGGGGTTAAGGTTGATCCAACAACTATCAGCAAGTATGCTCGTGGCCAGCGAATGTCCTTTCTTCAGTTACAGCAGCAGACCAGAGAAAAATGCCAGGAGATTTGGGATCGACAAGTTCAGAGTCTGTCAGCAGTAAATGGTGATGAGAATGAGAGCGATTCAGAAGGGAATAGTGATCTGGATTCTTTTGCTGGAGATCTGGAAAATTTACTTGATGCTGAGGAGTGTGAGGAGGGAGAAGAGGGTACAAATGACTTAAAACGTGACAAGGGAGATGGTGTGAAGGGTCTTAAAATGAGAAGACGCCCAACTTTGGCTCAGGCAGAGGAGGAAATAGAAGACGAAGCAGCTGAGGCTGCTGAATTATGCAGGTTGCTTATGGATGGTATGAGATCTCTTTGATCTTTGAAGATTTATTACCAGATATTGATTAGTACTGAATGTGGGAACACTGATGTTGTTAAGGCTGTTCTAATGCAATGACTATAAGTTGTTAATTGGATCAAAATTTTTGAAGTTGAATTCAGATGCTACTTGTTATATTTGACCTTTTTTGTTTTGTTTTGGGCAATAATTTATGCAGATGATGAATCTGATAGGAAGAAAAAGAAGAAAACTAAAGGTATGGTGGAAGAAACAAGATTGGTAGCAAAGGTGCCTTCGAAATTTGCCTTTGACAATGGTGAACAAGTTAAGCAAATAACAAATACTTTACAATTAGATGGAAATAATCCCTTGAAAGAGGATGCAATCACAGATCAAAGAGAGGTAAGATGATAATTAGTTTATTCACATTATCCTGTCATTTTGCATCTTGTTTAAACATTTATATGAACATCTGATCATAAATATGGAAAGACATATAAAGGAGACCTAATTATTTCATTTCATGTTTTTGGCAGGAGGAAAACTTTATTGCTAAAAAAAGCAAATCAGTGAAGGTCAATAAAGCCAAGAAGAATGATATGACACCTATTAGCCTTCCCAATAAAAAAATAAAATTGAATATGGGAGAAGGAATTAAGGTAAGCGATCAACTTTATTCTGTTTCATCACTCTTTTTTCCTCAGAAAAACCCTTATAAATGGTTGAGTTTGTGTAGAAAACAACAGTATATTCATGGCAGTATCAAAGTTTTTACTATTTTTTGTTGTTTTTTTGCTTAGTCTTTAATTGTGTTATAAGAATATTTTCTCTCTTGTATTTTGAATTGGAATTTCAATTTGAGTTTGTTAATGCTGCATGTATTTTCAATTAGAATTTTGTTTAATAGAAATCTTTTCTTCTCTTAAGTTTGACAAACTTGGATCAACAATAGGCCAACTGATGAAGGGAATTTGACTAGCAAGGTCAAATCCAAAGTGTATATCGTAGTAATTGCATTTCTTTCCGCCACATTAATGAGAAATTAGGACTGTCCTTAAATGCAACTATTTTGTAGCATTTATCTGTAATTATTGTCACTACATGGATGGAAATAGTCTTCTTAATACTTGTTCAGATTGGAATACATTATTGTGTTTTGAAGGCCAAATCCAAAGTGTATATCGTAGTAATTGCATTTCTTTGCACCGCATTAATGAGAAATTAGGACTGTCCTTGAATGCAACTATTTTTAGCATTTCTCAGTAATTATTGTCAATACATGGGAGGAAATAGTCTTCTTAATACTTGTTCAAATTGCAATACATTATTGTATTTTGAAGATGTGCTAAAAGCTTGTTGAACTCCGTATGTGATTTGTGAGTTTTATGTTTGCATTCTTTAAGGAAGTCTGTATTAATATTTTCAAATTTAACTCTGCCTCCTGAAATTATTTCTGATTTTTGTCTGCAGAACCAGGTGTTTAAGGAGAAAAAACCATCAAGGGAAACTTTTGTTTGTGGAGCATGTGGTCAGGTGTGTGTATCTTGATTTGTTTGCATATTATGTTTCTTAGTATTTCATCTGGGGGGGGTTATCATTGTATGAAAACTATAAAGCTCGTCCGACTGTGTGTGTGTGTGTGTGTATATGTCCAATATTTTGGACATTGGTCTTGTCCGAGTGTCCTGTCTTGTCCTGTTCAATGTTTATATGAGTCTGTCCCTCTTGGGGTTACAGTCTGTGTAACCTTTAAAACTAGTTGATGACTTGTTAATTAAGGTTCAATGTTTTCGATAAATTTTCCAGAAAAATTTTAAATTCACTTTTGTAGATGTGAAGTTAAATTGTTACTTCACGTGTGTATTTTGAAAACAAAGCGTGATCAAGAAACCAAAATAATTCTGTATTTTCTAACTTTGTAATTAATAAAGATATAGCAATTAAAACAAAAGGGTATCTTTGGTTATGTTAAAGTTTTGCACTCCATTCTTCATTATTGTATTCTAACTATTTCGTTAATGAACTAGCCTGGGCACATGCGAACGAACAAGAACTGTCCAAAATATGGTGAGGATCTTGAAACTCAGCTTGAATCTGCAGATATGGAAAAATCATCTGGAAAACCCATATTTGTGGATCATTCCAGTCACTCCCAGGCTAAAGCCCCCTCCAAAAAGTCAATGCCAAAAAGCACCACCAAAATTGCTCCTGTTGACAATTCAGCCAAAGTTCCACTGAAATTCAAATGCGGCTCCACAGAGAAATCTTCTGATAAACCTGCAACAGAGATCTTGCAGAATTCTGACAAGCCAGTCACTTCGGACTCAGAAACTGCAAAATCTGCTAAGGTTAATAAGATAATTATTCCCAAAAAAGGGAAACCGGATGATACACAAGCTGAATCCCGTAAGCATGCTGTTGTTATACGGCCTCCTACTGAATCAGGTAGAGGGCCTCCTACTGATTCAGGTAGAGGGCAGGTTGATTATAACAAGTTACCAATTAAAATACGCCCACCAACAGAAATAGATAGGGAGCAAAGTCACAAAAAGATTGTTATAAAACGTACAAAGGAGGTTATTGATCTAGAACTGGACAGTCCTGGTGGAAACACAGGACTTCAACACAGAAAGACTAAAAGAATTGTTGAATTGTCGAATTTCGAGAAACAAAAGAAACAAGAGAGCGTGTATGGAACTGAAGGTTTTCCAAAATGGGGCACTAAAGAGGACAGAAGATGGTGGGAAGAGCAAGAGAAACGAAGAAATGATGCAAGGCTTCGAGAAGAAGACAGAGCAAGAAGGCATCATAAAGAAGAAATCAGGATGCTCAAAGAGCAAGAAAGGTTAGACGAAATAAAAAGATTTGAAGAAGATATTAGAAGAGAGAGGGAGGAGGAAGAACGGCAAAAGGCTAAGAAGAAAAAGAAGAAGAAAAAACCTGATTTAAGAGATGAGTATCTAGATGACCCTAGAGCAAGACGACATGATAAGAGAATGCCTGAAAGAGAGCGGAGTGGTAAAAGGAGATCTGTTGCTGAGTTAGGAAAGATTGGTGCAGATTATATGCCACCAACAAAACGCCGAAGAGGGGGAGGGGGAGAGGTACGTTTCTATGTTTTTTATTTTTCTTATTTAGTGGCTGTTTTATTTGCATGTATTTCATCTTCACACACGTTATGTAGGAAGAAAATTAACAAGAGATATATACTTGGTCGTTTGTTTCACTTTGACCTGGGTTGAGTTGTATGTTAAATTGAATTTGTCTCTGAAGGTTGGTTTGGCAAATATATTGGAGAGCATTGTGGACAGCATTGTGAAAGATAGGTACGAGCTGTCGTATCTTTTCGTGAAACCGGTGTCGAAGAAGGAGGCTCCTGACTACCTGGACATTATAGACACGCCTATGGATCTTTCCAGAATCAGGGAGAGGGTACGGAACATGGAGTACAAGAGCCGAGAAGATTTCAGGCACGATGTCTGGCAAATTACTTATAATGCACATAAATATAACGACGGGCGAAATCCGGGAATTCCTCCCCTTGCAGATATGCTTTTGGAATATTGTGATTATTTGTTGAATGAGAACGATGATAGCCTCACTTCAGCAGAAGCTGGCATTGAAATTAGAGATTTCTAGGGATTTATAAACCATGATTTTCAAAATATAGTGTAAATTCTGGTTTGAAAGGATATAATACCAAAATGCCTCCTGTAATTTTTTCAACCATGTGGAAACAACGGTGATGTATCAACCATGTAGCTCGTTTAATTTTCAGCGTGTAACAATGTAGATTGAGGCCACTTCAATTATTATTTTCGATGCTAAAACAACAAAATAAAAGCAGAATGACAGCACTTATGTACATATGTCTTTACTAGCTATTCAAACACTGGCCTCCCTAATCAATAGAATGCTCCCTATTATTTTGTTATCAATTACGTGAACCATCAAACCAAGTAATGTACAATCAGATTGTTTCTTCCTTGCCACACAACATGACTTTATTCTATATAGAAGGAGTTTGGGAGAGACAAATCTTTGGGATTTTTTCGAGTCAAGTGAAGATTGAAACTAATTTCTAATTATGCATCAGTTCCTTAATGTAACACTGTAACCTCTCACCCAGTGTGGAACAACCCTACAAGCCAAAGAACAATTCCTGAAGAAGAACATCAAGTATTTCAAATCCAGACTAGAGTAATCGATTAGGAAATTGTGGTGACTATACTTGTTTCTCAACCCCACATATATTCCAAGAGAAAAATAAAACATAGTAAATATGGTACAAAAGATACGAAGTCGCCTCAGCAACTCTGTTCGTCACATTTTTCAATAAAGTTAAGAAGTAGTAAAAATTTGTATTTGTATATTTATGAGGACCAAATTAGTACAAAAGTATAAAAACTATTTTAACCTATTATATATTATACATTGATTAAAAAACGTATTTTATCTTATAAATTATTATATGTTAATAACTTTACACAAAATGAATTTAATCTATTTAACCTTAAATTATAAGATGATCTCAAATGTGAGTTTATTGAAATACTTAAATACAATATTAGTTTTAATTTTTAATATAGAATGATAAGTGCTCCAATAGAAACAATTCATATGAATTACTTCCTGAAAAATATAAAAGAATGATTTATCATATCACGATATTTTTAAGCACTTATTGATTTGACTTCATTATAAATTTTCTTAATAAATTTTAAAAAAATTATTATCTCTTTATTTATTTTGATTTGTTTATTTTTTGTAAATTACTTGATGAAGTAACTTTACATGTCAAATTTTTGATAAAAAAAGAAGAAGTAAAAATAAATAAAAGGAAAGTGATGAAATTATACATATTTTAATATATTTAAAAATATAATAGGAAAAATAAATAAAAATAAAAGGAAGGTAATCAAATTATACATATTTTAGCATATTTATAAATATATTATATGTTAATTTTAATTTTTGAATCAATATAAATTTTTAGGCTAACTTAAAGATTAGTTTATAAGAATAAACTTCCCTGCATTGTTTTATATTCCCATTTATAAAAATAAACATATTAAGTTTTTATATATTATATTTCATTTATTTGCAGGAAAAAAATGATCAATAAAAATAAATATATGACTATTGTAATACATGTTTCACTTTTAATTTATATAAATAAAAAAATAAAAATATAAGAAAAATATTATTTTATAAAATAAATTTTAATTGGCTATTATTTTTTATGTTTGTAATTTTAGTATATATATATAATTATAGTTTTAATAAAATATTTATAAAAGAGGTTTTAAAATAGATGAATAATTTGTTTTTATTTATTTTTAATATGATATCATTTATTAATTTAAATTTATTTATTTTTAAATATATTAAATTACATATTATTAAAGAATAAGACATTAATTTAGAAAGTTACATCTTTTATAAAAAAGTAAGAATTATACGAGTAATATTATAATTGAATAAATATTAAATTTTTTAAATAAACATTTTTTTCGTATCTCTCCTCTCAATATTTATTACCTTTTCGTTTCTTATCACACGAAGAACGGCTATTTTGTAAGTTTCGAAATGTTCTTCCCACCACCAACTGTTTGTTGTATGAGACCCGCATACAAAATCAATGCATGATAAGGAGTGAAAAAGAGATGCTACCTTTCTTAACTAACACTCCTCCTAAGAAGATGATGATAATAATAAGTTTTAGTTTTTTTTTTTTTTCTAATTTGTTCATTCTTGAGGCTTCACATCACAGACATACACTTAGCATCAGAGTTGTGGAAGGAAGGGTTGTATTAAAAGCTCTTTCCATATCAAACAACTTTCTTTTAACCACTCAATTCCATACAAATCTCCATTTCATATATACAAAATTCCATTTCATACATACATATATATAATATTAAAATTACATTTCATATTAATTTAATTGTTTAATAAATTTTGCAACATAAAAAATAATCACTTAATAAAAGATTAAATTCATCAATTTCAAAATATAAATTATTATGTTTGAAAAGTTTAAGAAACTTTTAATATATTAAAAAAAAAGGGTACAAACTAATTTCCTATTTAACTCTAATAAACTCAAATACAAACATTCTCATAAATAAATAACATCTATGTAAAAACACATCTTACTAAAAGGTCATAATTTAATATAAATAAATAAATTATATGTGTTACTTATGAGTAGTATAACAGCTATAATGTTAAAATTACAATAACTTTAATTTAAAACAGTGAAAAATGAATTGAATTTTAAACATAAGGGACTGAATTAAAATTAACATAAACCAAAAATATATAAAACCAAAATGTAACTAACATACCACCTATGTGTATTGTTTTAATAAAAGTGTTATTTTTAATTGAAATTAATAAAATCTTATAAAAAATAATATCTTAACAGAAATTAAAGAAATTAACTTTATGATAGGGTAAAAAAGACAAAGTTACCTGTTATATTTTAATCTTCTTATATTTTGGTATGAACTTATAAAATATTAATAGATTTAACAATTGTTTGAAGTATTTTAATTTTATAGAATAATATAAAAGTAATTTATTTTTCTTACGTGTCTATGTATACTTACGAGTTAAGGTTGGCCATGGAAGGTGTCAGTTACTTCATTGTTTTAAATGCAATTTGGTTGTGGTTAAAGCACAGTTTTATTTGATTTACATTGTATAGATATTTTAATTATGGACGATTTTTTTTGTTGAGAGTGAACAAAAAGTTAATAAATTTAACCTTTTTTTTTTTTTTTCATTTTCTTCACCAAGTATATCTATCAATATCATCACGATATAATAAATTAAAATAAAAGTTACATTTGTTCTCCCTTAAATAAAAAATTAGTGCTCTTCCGTTTAATTACAAATTACAATCCCATTTCAAATTTCAAAACCAAAATCTCTTTCTTCTATCTCCATGTGAGAACTCCATACAAAAACTTGGAAGCTCTGAAACTGCACTCTCCCGAACTCCATTCATTATTCTTCCTTCCATGCCACAACCATGTCTCTCCTCAGCCGATTCTTCTACAAGCGTCCCCCAGATGGCTTACTCGAATTCACCGACAGAGTCTATGGTAAATTGAAAATCCCAATTCCCATTTCATTTCAATTTTGGTTTGAATTGATGAATTTTGCATTTTCCTTTTCAGTATTTGATTCCTGCTTCTCCACCGAAGCGCTTCCTGACGGAATGTACCAGCTCTACCTCCGCCAAATCCTCTCCGACCTCCACGAGGACTTCCCGGAATCCTCCTTCCTCGCCCTCAACTTCCGCGACGGTGACTCCCGCAGCCGCTTCTCCCGCCTCCTCTGCGACTTCGACGCCACCGTCATCGACTACCCCAAGCAGTACGAGGGCTGCCCCCTCCTCCCCCTCTCCCTCCTCCACCACTTCCTCCGCCTCTGCGACACCTGCCTCGCCGACCCCGCCACCGTGATGCTCTTCCACTGCGAGCGCGGCGGCTGGCCTCTCCTCGCTTTTCTCCTCGCTGCTTTCCTCGTTTTCCGGAAGGTGCAGAGTGGGGAGCGCAAGATTCTGGAGATGGTGCACAGGGAGGCGCCGAAGGGGCTGCTGCAGCTGCTGTCGGCGCTGAACCCAATGCCGTCGCAATTGCGGTATGTTCAATATGTGGCGCGGAGGAACATTGGCGCGGAGTGGCCCCCGCCGGAGAGGGCACTGTCTCTGGACTGTGTGATACTCAGAGGGGTTCCGGGTTTTGATGGGGGAAATGGGTGCCGGCCGTTGTTTAGGATTTTTGGGAGGAACTTGCTTAGTAAAGGGGGGGGCCTTTCTACGCAGATGATTTATAATATGCATAAGAAGAAGAAGAGTTTGAGGCACTATAGACAGGTTTTGTGTGTGTTTGTGTGGGTTTGGTATTCTGTTGGACAAAACTTATATATAGTTGTTTACGTGCATTTGGTCCAATTCTCTGTGTGTTTGTGGTTGGTTGACTTTGCTGCGTGGAAGAACTTGTTTACCGTTCTTTAGGTGCTTTTGCTGATGTTATCATCAGAATTGAGTTTGACTTAGGTAATTTGTGCAAGAAAGGTTTGCATTAAAGGTTAACATAGATTATTGAGGTGAAACTGCAATTCTGATTGGAAAATAGCGATAGATTGCAATTCTGGTTTTTGTGTTTGTGTTTGTATTAGTTAATGCTGGAGTGAATGTGTTGTGTTTTTATCTCAGGCAGACTGTGATGTGATTAAGATTGATATTCAATGCTTAGTGCAAGGGGATGTGGTGTTGGAGTGTGTGCATTTGGATTTGGATCCGGAGAGGGAGGTGATGATGTTTCGAGTGATGTTCAACACAGCGTTCATTCGGTCCAACATTTTGATGCTTAATGCTGAAAACTTGGACATTGTGTGGGATTCGAAGGAGCGTTATCCGAAGGGCTTCCGGGCTGAGGTGAGTTTTGTTATAGTATTTATGAACTGTGCAAAGTTAGGACTTCAATTGTTTGTTGTGATGGTTGTGATTTTTCTGTATTAAGGTTATTGGTTGTTTATCTGATCATGAAAAGCCTTGAAATTTAGGTTTTGTTTGGGGAGGTTGAAAACATAAGTCCTCAAAGGGCTCCAACAAGTATTTTAGATGGTGAGGTTAAAGGTGGATTGCCCATTGAGGCATTTTCAAGGGTTCAAGAACTTTTCAGTGGTGCAGAATGGATTGAAAGTGGTGATTCTGCTGCTGTTTGGTTGCTCAAGCAGCTTACAGTCTTTAATGACGCCAAAGAGTTTTCAAGGTTTCCAGGTAGAGGAAGTTGGTATTCATCACCTGCTGACTCTGAGGAAGAAAATAATGAATCGAGCACTGCTGATAGTTCAGATGAGGCCTTTGACGTTATTCCCAGGACTTATGCTGATCCTTCAAAATTATTTACATCTGACACACCTGATTTGGTCCATTTAACTTTTGAAAACAATGGTGGAGATTATGTAAATCTCACTTCAGGAACACCTGATCAATTACTAACCGATAATGTTTCATTACCTCATCATGCTCTAAGTAATGAATATTCTCCTTGTTTGTCTCCACCATCACCTTCAGCTGTTCCCGCTACTCAACCTCTTAACATATCAGCACCACCACCTCCTCCATCAATACCTATACAGCCAGGTTTAGCTCCTCCTCCTCCTCCTCCACATCATATAGTTCATAATGTGAATAATGCTTCTACATTGCCTTCACCTCCTCCTCCTCCTCCTCCTCCAGCCCCTTCTCTCCCTATAGGTAGCAATGCCAATGGCACTCCTGGTTTATCTCCCCCTCCTCCTCCAGGTCCTGTGCGAACAAGTTTTCCGTCAGCACCTCCACCTCCACCTCCACCACCTCCTCCTCTTCCTACACCTTCAGGTCCTATGCAAACAGGTTCATCCCCATCACCTCCACCTCCGCCTCCTTCAGGATTTGTTGAAACAGGTTCAGCTCCACCACCCCCACCCCCACCTGCTCCAGTTCCTTCAAGATCAGTTTCTGTCCCACCACCACCTCCACCTCCTCCATGCCCTTTAAGAACAGGTTCTGTCCCGCCACCACCTCCACCTCCTCCGGGTCCTTTAAGAACAGGTTCTGTCCCGCCACCACCTCCACCTCCTCCGGGCCCTTTAAGAACAGGTTCTGTCCCGCCACCACCTCCACCTCCTCCGGGCCCTTTAAGAACAGGTTCTGTCCCGCCACCACCTCCACCTCCTCCAGGCCCTTTAAGAACAGGTTCTGTCTCGCCACCACCTCCACCTCCTCCGGTTCTTGTACAAACAGGTTCAACTCCACCTCCACCTCCACCACCTCCTCCTCCAGGACCTGTAAGAACAGGTTCAGCTCCACCACCACCTCCACCTCCTCCAGGCCCTGTACAAATAGGTTCAGCCCCACCACCACCTCCACCTCCTCCAGGTCCTGTACGAATAGGTTCAGCCCCACCACCACCTCCACCTCCTACAGGGACTGTACGAATGGGCTCAGCCCCACCACCACCTCCACCTCCTCCAGGGACTGTACGAATGGGCTCAGCCCCACCACCACCACCTCCACCACCTCCAGGTCCTGTACAAATAGGTTCAGCCCCACCACCACCTCCACCTCCTCCAGGTCCTCTACGAATGGGCTCAGCCCCCCCACCACCACCACCTCCTCCAGGTCCTGTACGAATAGGTTCAGCCCCACCACCTCCTCCTCCTCCTCCTCCGGGTCCTGTACAAATTGGTTCTTCCCCACCACCTCCACCTCCTCCTCCGGGTCCCACAAGAACAGGTGCTGCTCCACCACCTCCTCCTCCTCTGAGTGTACGAACAGGTCCAGCTCCACCACCACCACCAGCACCAAAGCCTCCAGGTGCTCCTCCTCCTCCACCTGCTCTTGGTTTATCGACAATGCCACCTCCACCTCCTGCAGCTAGTGCCTCTAATGTGGCACCTCCACCTGGTAAAGCTTCAACAACAAATGTTGGAAGAGGTCGTGGTACTGCTGGTACTGCTAATGCTCCAAAGAAAACTTTGCTAAAACCCTTACACTGGGTGAAAGTTGCTCGAGCAGCCAAGGGAAGTCTATGGGCTGATTCACAGAAACAGGATAGCGGAACAAGGTACTTATTACTGAAATTGATATGGATATCAGACATGATTTTCCTAATAATAACACTTTTACAATAACTGGAAAATGTCATATTTCAAGTTTTTGTGGGATCACATTATGTATAGTAGTTGTGGATGATTTTGTTTAATTTTCCTAACCCCCTTCGTTGATAGGAGTTGGGGAGGGTGGGATGCAACACATATTTAGCATTTCTGAGTTTAAATAATGAAATATTTGTTAGGGCCCCTGAGATAGATATATCAGAACTTGAGAGCCTGTTTTCAGCAGCATCTACTTCTGATGGGAACAGTACTAAAGGTGGAGTTCGGCGTGGTCCTAATATTAACAAACCGGAGAAAGTACAACTGGTAAGAAACTCCTTGTTGGCATAAATTATTTTATCAAATATTGATTATGAGTTTATATGCATTATTAGAAAATCCTATAGTGGTAATTAGGAATTACTCTGGCATTAAAATGGTCATCTAAAGAGGCAACAAACATAAAAACGTTTTTTTCTAGTATATTTTTTCTACTCCTGCTAATTGCTTGTTGTATAAGAAAGAAAAATCACAAAAAATTGATTGCTAAGAAAGTTTTATTTTGGGTTGAATTGTGTACAATTATAAGTTGAAACACAACTATTCAATACTGCAGTTTGCTTGGGTGTTAGATATGATATATGTGTTGACAAACCTAATGCAGATACTGGAACATTTTTTTCTTTAAATTTTGTCTTTTTTGTTGTATTTAATTAGTAAAAGAAATGTATAACTAATAAACCCCAAACTCCTTTTCCCTAAATTGTCAGGTTGACTTGCGTAGAGCATATAATTGTGAAATAATGCTCTCTAAAATCAAAATTCCTTTGCCAGAAATGCTTGTAAGTTTCCCTTGCTCTCAGTTTACTTGGCTCTTGTTTTTGCAATGAAATTACCTATTATAAGTTTCTGATGTTTCTCTCTGTTCCATCATATTGCAAATCTGGAGTTAGTCCTAAACTTTTTGTGTGCGCGCACACACACACACATTGTATTTAGGTAGACTCCGATGTAGTTGATTGGTCATGTAGATAGCTGCTAAACCATATTGAAGATGTTATAGAATTAAGGCCCAGCTTAATAGTATAAGAAGATACCTCATGGGATTGGGTTTGACAGGAGGATTCCTTGTGCTCCTTTTCTGCTTTTTCCATTCCTTCATTAAATTTTTTTTTCACAAAAAAGGCTAAAATGTAAAAAACCTAATGGAGGAATATGCATGTTGTTCTTATTTTTCTTAATTTGTGTGATTGCATATTCTAGTTTGGCTCTGTAGCAGGATATTTTGGAGTGATAAAGGGCATTTATTGCAATTTTTTGAAGGCTACTTGGGGTGGGAGCTTTGATCAATATGTTAAATTGATTACTTTATATTGAATTCTGAAGCAAAAATGGAATGTTAAAAAGTACAGTGGCAGATTGGTTTTACTCCTTGTTTTAGTTGAAAGCAAAGTCCAAGTGAAATATAGCCACAAATGTCATTAGTTGATGCTTCTAGTTTTCTTCGAGAAAGATGTTTATTCTTTGATTTGGTTTGCTTTAGGAGCAGCTGTCACTGTTCTCCTACATACTTCTCTCGTTTACTATACAAATTCTTTTTGTATGAAAAAACCTTTTATAGAGTTTCTCATTTTATTTGAAAGTCTATTATTCTAACTTCACTTTTATAAACCCATTCATTTGAGGTCAAAAAACCTTTTTGAGGATAAGAGAGATTATTTTAACTGGAAAAAAAAAAACTTTCCCAAACATGCACATAGTACAATGATTGTATATTTAATTTTATCCTCATCTACTTTTGAAAGTTTACTTTGGAGATTTTAGAGAAGACAATTTCATGTTTCACCTTTGAATTGATTTGTCACGAAGTTGTCAGAGATTAATTGATGTAATGTTTGAAAATTATTGAGTGAGGTTAATAATCATCTAAGTTCATTATTATATTGAGTAGGTGGATTTTGAGTGCTTTCTCATTTTGTTTGATAATAAACTTGCGTAATGGGAGAACATTTTAGCCTAGTTTTATTTTTTTAATCTAAATATTAATGCACTTACACTTCCCTGTGATGAGGTTGATTTTAGATGACATTTTTTCCCATGTTTGTTCTTAGTAGTTATCATTTTTTGTGGGTGTTTTTTTTTTCTTTTTCCATTTCAGAAAGCAGTACTGGCATTGGATTCTTTAGTTCTTGATATTGATCAGGTAGAGAATCTCATCAAGTTCTGTCCAACAAAGGAGGAGATGGAGATGTTGAAGGTACTCCTCTTCCCTCCTTCTCTGAGAAGGAACCTATAAAAAAATGTGTGAACTGTAATGTGTGACATTATTTACTATAATAGTATCATAGTTGCAATGTTTTAACCTCTTATACTTGGTTTCAGCCTCAAAATCTTGAATCATATAATTTTATATTTGCTTGAATACATGGAGGGTGCAATCTTAGCTTCATTCAGTGACAATTTTTAAAAAGTACATGAAGGATATTTTCCTATGGTTTGACTTTAATTTATTGTTAGGATTTCAAATATTATATATTTTTTTCTTTATATTATCTAAAAAGATGGGGAGACTTTCTCCTTTTATGCAGAGAAAACCCTCTCCTAGCACAGAATGAAGAAACCGCTCCAACTCCTCCAATTCCTTTCCAAAACTCCTCTTTCCCTCTCTTTCCCTTCTTCCCATGTGAGGATGAGAGAATGGGTTAGGCCCAGTGGGCCCGTCCTCCTAAAAAATATGGTGGGGCGGGTTGGTGATTTTAGCTTGTAAGCCTATTTTGGCTTGTCTCGCCTAACTTGCCATCTCGGTGGGCCAAGGGCAGGGGATGACCCACTTTAAACAAATATTTATATATTAAAATAAAAATGATTATAATTAAAAATATTATATTTTTTTTGTTACGTTATTGAAATATGTAAATATATTATAATATTATAATTTAAATATTAATTAATTAAATTTAAATTATTGATTATAATTAGTTATTTTGACACATAATATAATATTTTTTCAATTTATTTAATAAAAATACTAATTAATAAATGAAAATTTAAAAATTATTCATGTAATTAAAGATATATTCTCTGGTGGGTCAGAGGGAGGATGAGCCAAAACGGGGCAGGTTGGTCATTTTTGCCATTCCTATTCCCTTGTCCCCCTATATAGTTTCCTTGTCCATTTTGGTATGATCTTCAAATTCCTTTCACCACTCAGCATGTGACAACTGTCCCAGTTGGTATTGGTATACATGATGCCTTAACCCACATCTATTCAACCTTGTTTTCTTCGTTTATATAGTGTCATGTGCCTATCATAATATTAATATATTGTTTTAGATTGTTCCATTTTGGTAAAGAGATTGACAGCTGCGATAGGAACTTTTTATATTAATCAGTCAATATATATATATATACACACACACACACACACACATATACACATAGATAGATAGATGTAGAGAGAGAATATCAGCTTACAAAATTTTTAAATAAACTGTCAATTTTCTTAATGATGAATTAAAAAATGTGACAGTCTGGTTCAAATTTGATCTTAAATAAAGAGATGCTACATTGTCTTTTTTTTTTTTTTTTTTTTTTTTGTTGAGTTTTTCCTGGCTAAAATCTTTTTGTTTCCAGAATTACACCGGAAACAAGGAAATGCTTGGAAAGTGTGAACAGGTTTTCTCCCTTATACTCTTTAGTCTATGAATCCTTGTAAATTTAAATGTTGATTTTAATATATAATTTATTTTTTACAGTTTTTTATGGAGCTGATGAAGGTTCCCCGTGTGGAATCCAAATTAAGGGTTTTTGCATTTAAAATCACCTTTTCTTCTCAGGTATTTATCTAGGCTATGGACGTATAATTATCTTTGTATGGTTTACTATATAATATTTCATCCGTAAAGACTTGTTTTTATTGGTTCTTCAGGTGAGCGATTTGAAGATAAATTTGAACACAATCAACCATGCAGCCAGAGAGGTATTTTTTAAGGGCTCTTAGTTGACAAACATGAAGGCGTTCTTGGGCTGCTTCTTCATGCTATTACTCATACTTACAGGTGAAAGAATCTGGAAAATTGCGTCAAATAATGCAGACTATACTTACACTGGGAAATGCCTTGAATCAAGGAACAGCACGGGGTATCTTTTGTTCAATCTTGTGCTACTTTAGTTTAATTTGAGATGGATTTGTTGTTGCTTTTTAACCTGCCTATCATTCACAAAATGAGGAAGTTTCTGCTATGCTCTTTAGATTATATTCTTTCATGTTGCTCATTGTAGGATCAGCTGTTGGATTCAAATTGGATAGTCTTCTTAAGCTATCTGATACTCGTGCAAGAAATAACAAAATGACTTTAATGCATTATTTGTGTAAGGTATATATTGGAATCTTTAAATTATATTTCGCATTTTACTATTGTATCTTTAAATTAGATGTCTTTTCAACCCAGTTGAAATATTAACTTTACAATATTCAAGTTCTTACATCATTTGTTTGTCATTGATGCTGCTTTGTATGATACCTTACACAAATTGTTCTTCTCTTTAGCTTCTCGCTGAAAAAATGCCAGAATTGCTAGATTTTGATAAGGATCTTGTCCATTTGGAAGCGGCTTCTAAGGTATTCTCTGTCAATAACATTTTTATTAACCTTATTGATGATAGATGTATTACAGATGATCTGATGTACTTGCTTTTGGGTTTGTGTCCTCTATGCCCAATAGATTCAACTAAAAGCATTGGCTGAAGAAATGCAAGCTGTGAGTAAAGGTTTGGAGAAAGTTGAGCAAGAACTCGCTGCTTCTGAAAATGATGGTGCTATATCTACAGGATTTCGTAAGGTGAGAAATAGAAAATGTTGGCTTTTACCTGTATGTGATGTACTTGTCTTATCTACGATTGTTTATATTATGTTTCCTTTTATCCATTCCTCATCGTCCCCATTTTCAGCATCCGAACACAAAAATATACTCTTGAAAACTGAAGCCTCAGCTACAATTCTAGCTTGACTCAATTCATTATGAAAAAACTAAAGAAAATCATGAGGGTATGTTTTCAAGACGTCAAATCTTAAGTGGATGTTTTTTTATTGTTACATTGCTACCTGATAACATCTTAATGAAAACTAGTGCTTTGATCTTCAATAAATTGTAATATGGTTAGCAACTGCTAGCTATCGTCTGTATAAGTAATTTTATGTGTCTTGTTACATGTCTTAATTAGTGATTTGATTGTATATACTCATGATTTTCTCAGAATAGTTATTAGAATCTTACCATTCAGAAATCAAATCCTACTATTCGATACAATTTGGCTGGCTACTTATCAATTTGTATCATAAGATGAATCTCGTATGACTTGAATCTTATGATACATGTATAAATTGGTGCAATTTTGCATCCTTAATAGGTACCGGAGAATTAAACTTTTCATTATTGTTTTCGTTTATTACACTTAATTTTGCCAAATCTTGTTGCAGAAATTGAAAAGTCATAAAAACTTTATTTGTTAAATGAAAAGGAATGGAAGGAGCAATTATGAAATTATCATATTTGATTATTCCACTTCTTTATTTGTGACTCATTCAATGCAATGACTACTTCATCGCTTAATTTTCCATTCTTCTAAAATAGATGTTTCTCAAACTTAGATATAATCAACGTTTTTTTTAAGACTTATGGTTAAGTTGCTTTAGCTATTTCTATTTTATAATTATTACATTGAACACTATATATCATCTATATAATGTACTTGATTTCACATTATTTTCCATCTTTTCTGAATCTTATAATTGGATACAAATTATATTTCATGATTCAAAAATTAGCTTTACGATTCATGATTTTGAAACCTTGTTTCTCAGTAATGTTTTTCATGCTCAGGTGTTGAAGAATTTTCTCGATATTGCTGAAGCTGATGTGAGGTCCCTTATATCATTGTATTCTGAAGTGGTGAGTCCTGTTGTAGTAATGTTTCTTCTCTTCCTCCTTTTTTGTCAGTGTTGCTCTAGACTTGGAGCCTGCTCAGGAGATTTTGATGCTCCATAGCAGATAAAAGTCATTAGTTAGGACTGTTTACGTGACTAAGTGTGCCAACTACGTATTTTTTTGTTTTGATATTGAGTCTTTCTTTTCCAGGGAAGAAGTGCAGACTCTTTGTCCCAGTACTTTGGAGAGGATCCAGCTAGATGCCCATTTGAGCAAGGTCTGATGTTATCTACAGTCTACGGGCTCCACACATGCACAATACTTGAGTGTTTTTAACATGTTTTTTGGTTGCTATAATTATGTAGATGGGTATGCAATGAATTTCAGTTTTGCTTGCAATGATGATGACTAAGTTTTGGGTGTGATGTTATAAAATTCAAAATCTTGCATTGCTTAAGCAGTGCCAATATGCCTGGAGGAAGAAAATAACCATTTCTCGTCGATCAGTTTATTATATAAGTCATTATCTCAGTATTTACCGGGCTACATGTGTTTTTGTTATTTTGTCATTTTTTTTTTCATTTTAAATTTTATTTCCTCTTAAGGAAATAAAAACTGCGTAAATCCTCAATTGTGTGAGAGAGTTTTACTGGCTTTGAGAAATTGAAATAATCATCACTAAGTAGGGGTCGGAAGATTAAGTCCAGTCTAATGCTTACTTCTTGATGGTGTTTTTAGTGGTGGAGCAATGTGTCCCCCTTTAATTCCCTGAATTTGCCTATGGTTTTGGTGTCCTGATTGATGCACCTTGGTATCGTAAAAATTCACGGTACTTCATTTCCTCTAAGAGGGTCAACCTAGGTGCACAGTAAGTTTGCTGCCTTGTGATCTGGAGCTAGGGGGTAATGCTGCACACACAGTTACCCTCCTTAGATCCTAGCCAGTGTTTTCTTGTTATTTTCATAAAGCTCATTTTTGGTTTCTTTGAAATGAATATGTTGTCTGAGAAAGTTGTGTTCTTGTTGCAGTGACACAAATCCTTGTTGTCTTTGTCAAGATGTTCAACAAGTCAAGGGAGGAGAATGAAAGGCAGGCAGATGCTGAAAAAAAGAAGCTAGAGAAAGAAGCCTTGAAGGAAAGGACAGCAAATAATTCACATTCCAAAAAAGATGTGATTCGGTAGATGCCTAAACATCTAACAAGAAGCCGCATGGTTACTTTCAGTTCTAGCACACTGCGTTATAAATTTTGGACGGTCTCAAATGCAACTCTTGCTTATTTGCATGCACCATTGGGATTTATCCCTTCTAAAGATGTTGGTGTGGGCGTTGGACGCAAGTGGTTAGTCAGTTTCCTAAAGTTGGATCAACGTGCCTCTTCCATTCTGCTACCCTGCTCTGCTAAAGGAGAAATACATTGACAGACTGCGGTGGTCTTTTGTAATTATAATACCACAAGGCAACTAAAATAGAAAATTCACCCTTTCTTCCTTTTTAACGTATAGGGGCCATATATAATTTTTTGAGGTTCAATTTTTCTTGTACCATTGCACATGCGCTTCTTAATTTGTAATCAAGATACAGATAATTTTTTGTAATTAAAAAGCACCTTAGATATATGATAATGAATTCTTCCTGTGTATTATAGAAACTCATTGTCAACACCTAAAAATTAAAAAAATAATAGTCAAATAATTAATTAAGCATAATTAAGGAAGAAAATATTAAAAAATATTATAGAATTATTATTTTTATTTAAAGAGCACTTTAATTTTTTATTATACTTAGAGATAAATAGATTACTCTTAACGAGTTAATAATAATTAAAATATTTTTTAATAATATATTTTTATATAAATAATATTTCATTCTCATTAAATTACAAAAATGTAGTTTTATTTGATTTAATGTGTAAAATAAATATTCTAAAATTATATTAATTTTAACCTTTGATTTATAGGGGTATTCTGAAGACGTTGTAGCACTTGATCTGTGTGCATAATCTATTTCCGTTTTTTTTTGTATTCAGATGTCATTTATAAAAATTTTCTTTCACATAATATTGGTCACAATTTTTTTTATTTTTAAATTCTTACGCCCAACCATAATTAGCGATCCTTGTCATAACTGAAGTGCGTGTGACATGATAAATATGAGAAGATTCCTAATCTTACATTAAAAAATTTGACTTTAAGCTATCAATGTATGGAGAGGAAAAGAGTTATGTACTTTCACCCAGTTGATTAGATGGTAGTGTAAAGTATTTATAGATAAACTGTTTATATTGTGAGTGCATGAATATTATTCAATTTTAATAATGATTACTTTGTTAAAGAAAACGTTTTTCAGAAGGCACAACTGAAGGGGAAGGTAAATAAGGAATGCTCAAGTAGCACAGCGTTGCGAGGTGAGATCTGTGGGTAAGAGAAAGTCGTATTCACTTGTTTTTCCTTGTGAGATTAATTGGACACCCCATTATAGATAGTGCTTGGTGCATCAATTGTTTTGACGGAGATCGGTGGACCAAGTTACAATTGTTAAGTAGAAAGAGTTGGTTTTGGTCCAACAATAAACACTTCTCAGCTCTCTGCGGCATTTTAATCGTTTGTGTATATAAATAAAGGCGGGGTCAAATGCAATGTTTTATTTATGATGCGTTTGAACCTGAATACCACCAAAACACTTGGAAAATATTTTTTGGTTTTATTTTAGCAAATATTTTCTCTCTTTCGGGATCTTATGCTGGAAGAGGACAAGCCTGTTGATCCGATGCTTCTGACTTTTTGGCCTTCCCCTTCTCAAGCAAGTAAAGTCTCTCTGCTTCTGGTATTGCTTGCATGATTGTCTGCAACTTGAAATTTAACTCCTCCACCTTTTCCATGAGCCTGTCATTTGTAAACATGCCCATACTCACTATCTGGATGGTTTCCCTGCTCTCCATTAGTGGTAAAACAATTATCACAGCAGACCCAACAGTACCCCATGCTATAGCAATCACTGCCCAGAAAAAGAAGTAGCCCTTACTAAACTCACCTGTGGTAAGGAACAAGTAAGAGTGTAAGAGACCAAATCAAATATTTGACCACTTGTGGTGAGGAAAATAGACTTTGCCCATAATTGGGTTTAAGGCGCAAACAGAAAATCAAGTTCAAATATTTGCTAATGCAACTCAAGGGTACCTGCTGCAAGGGAGAGAACAGGCCAAAGTATGACTATCAAAACAGTGAAACCTACACCCCACTTCACCACCCATGCTTTAGCTGTGATTAGTTTTTCTTCTTTAAACTCTTCAGCTGGCAGGTCAGTCTTTTCCTTTTCAACCACCGTGATTTGCTTGGTGGTACTCCAGTCATAGTTCTGAGGCCATAACATGCTGCAGATAGCATGAACAACTCCTCCAGTTAGTATAGAGACAAGGTTTCCAGCTAGCATTGGCGCATTTCTGCCAGTGGTATCGAGGTTTACCCGGCCATATTGTATTTTTGCAACAGACAACCATGTGATAATTCCTAAAACACAACCTATGACTGTCCCAAGGATGGCTCCAATTGCATTTGCTTTTCTCCATAGAAGCATAAAAGCAATAGGAAGAACTGCTGAGCCAATCAGAACTCCCATTGCAAGGTACATCCATCCTAAAGAAACTCCAGCCTTGTTCAGTAGGACTGCAAGCAACCCCATGAAACACCCGAAGCCTAGGACAATGCTCCTTGACACTTTGAGGATTTGCTTTCCACTTGCATTAGGATTTATGTAAGTTCGGTAGATATCATATGTGCATAGTGATGACACCGCAATTAGTTCTGATGAACCAGCAGAAGTCACTGCCCTGATGAGAATATTAAAGGTCAAAATCATCAGAAATTTAAACAAAGAGACTGGATAATTTAAGCCTTGTAACTAATTGTTAATTTCTTTGCTATTTCAAAATTATCCAGACATATTAAGAGTATTTCTAATGGGATGCTGATTGTAGCTTACATAAAAAGCATGGTAAGAAGAAGAATAGATCCTCCTTTCCCCATCAAAGCTACTGCTGTAGCAGGGGGAACAAGTCCACGACCTGCTTCACTTTCAGTTATTGGTAAATCAAGGGCCAGGGCTCCTAGACCCAAAGATGTAGCCAATGAAAATGGAACAGCAAACCATACCAAGCCTCCCAACAAGTAGCCTTTATGAGTTGATGAAGGTCTTGCTGCGATGGCACTCACCCAGTATCCCTAGGCATTATTAAATAATCATTAGTGACAAAACCCAATAACAAGAAAGAGCACAAGTTATCTTTATATGCTTGAAATCAAACAAACTGATGATGGAAAGACACATTTCTTAATTGATGTTTACATTGTCAACAAACACAGTGCCAAAGTTGCCAACAATGTTTATGATCCCAAACACTAAGCCACCAGAACTCAGCATTGTTAGGTAAGAACCTTGGTGATTCCCACCGACAGGACCACAAGATTGCCCTTGGTGTGATATAGGTTCCTGACATGCTCTTGATTTTCTTGCAACCTCTTGGAGGCGATTGTACACCACAGAAGGGCTACCAAGCTCACTGCTAGCCGTGTAGACAAGGTAGACAAAAATCAACAAAACAATGTGCACTGAAAAGTGAAAACCAACAAATTCCCAGTTTAACAACAAAAGACATGAATGTAGCAAAATGTAAAAAGTGATAAAATTTAAGTAGAAACCTATGACAGAATGTATATAGCTTGCTAAGAATGTGGCCTTCAGTCCACCCGCTAGTGTATAGACAATTACTCCAAGTGGTATTAGAAAGCTAGCGGCATAAAGGTTCACTCCAGTTAATGCATTCACAACCGCAGAACCACCAAGGAGCAACATAGCTGTCACAATTATGTTCGTCAAGAAGCAGAAAAAGAGAAAAACAACGTGTGCTGAAGTTCCCCAACTGATATAAAAAAAACGTTGTTATCAATAGAATTACCAAAAGCTTGAAGTCAAGTGTTAAGCAAAACATAAATTAGAAGAACTCTGAATGTCCAAACTCTAAACCAAGTAACATACCGGGCCTTGACAATTTCACACACAGTATGAGCATGAGGAGCCTTTCTTTTAATCTCTATTGCCATGATTCCAAACAACAATACCTGTTCATTTTCAATACATTATGAACTTTCAGCCTTACTTCCTTTTCCATATTCCAATTTATGAAATTTAGAAGAAAAAATTGCTTTATTCTGAGGGAATATCATATAAGATTCATGCCTGGATGGTGGCCCCACTAGCATACCAGAAAGGTCCACTAACTCCATATTTCCATGCAACATTGGAGCTTTGCAGTATTGTAGCAGCCCATGTCCACTGCACAAAAATCATTGCAACAATAGAGACATGAAAAATAGAACTTCTGGCAATCGAAGTATACAAAATGATTATGATTACGAGAGACTATTTGAGTTCATTACCTGAGACACAATAACACTAGCAATAAGCCCTGTCTTAACACTTCTGCCTGCTGTATTGAACCATTCAGACGTGTGACGTGACCCAACATAACGCTTCTCTAGCCACACCTGATCCATAAGAATGTTTGTACCAAATCAACCAAAAATAACTAGAGAAAAAAAGAACGCGTTTAAGGATTACGAACCAAGAAAGAGGTGAAGACAGCAAAGAAAGCACCAAAACCAAGAATGACAGAGTAACCAACTCCCTGATTCAGCACTGGTTTGCCTTCAAAGAAACTGGTCTGCCTCACGCACACACCTCCACTTTCAGGCACATGATAGTACTTGCTGGAAAATTCAAATGGTGGACACCCTGACGCAGAAGCCATGAAACTGTAAAAGAAATTGTCTTATTTGTTTGCTATTAATCCAATAAAATTAGAACACTATGTAGCTGTCTCCATTTCTAAGAAATCAAAATGGAGATTTTGAGGCTTATCTCTAGCTGGATACAGGGAAGGTAGTAAGTCAAACTAAGAGGGTATCTTACTATTTTAACCAAAGGAATCTATAGATCAGATTCCTATGGAACACTTTTGGTCCAACTGTTGAAATTTTGGGCATTACTTTGTCAGCATCTCTCCAGTATGTGTGGTCATATTTTTCAAAGCAAATTAACCGCACACATTCAATTATTGTACATTAATGTATATATATATATATATATGAAATTCTATAATAGAATACTTTTTATTTAATAATATATTTAATATATATCAAATTATATCAAATATATTATATTTAATAATTACAATGAATAAATCACATAAGAAAAAAAATCATTATTTACATGAAAATGACATGAACATAACAATCACAGAAATAATAAAATTTTAATCATATATATTAAATTCTATAGATGTTAATTCTTAATTAATAATATATTTTAACAGCAATATACTTATATGAAAAATCATGCATTTAATAAACATATATTAAACATATTAAAAATCATTTATATGTTATTCATTTACATATTTATTTGTGATTTTTATTAAAAATATTTTACTAAAGATTGTTTTCTTATATAATATGTCAATTTTGTTTTTGAAATATTCCAATGTTTATTAATATAATGTATAGAAAAATTTATCTATATATAAATTAATTTTAATTTTGAAAAAGAGTATTAACATAAAATTTAATGTTAATAGTACTGTTATTAAAAATATAAACAGATAAAGAAATAGATTTTTTTTACTTAGTATGACTCAATTTTGTTAATTATTAAAATAGTATGCAAAAAATTGATTAGCATGATTCATTTATTAAGTGTATATTAAATAATGTGAAAAAAATGTAAATTAAACATCAGTTGTACAGAAATATAAATAAATATATTTTCTTATATAGCTTGATTCATATATTAATTAAAAAATATTTTTGAAAGATAATTTACAAAATATATTTTCAAAATCTCAGTTTAATACAAATGTAATGTGTACTCAAATATATGAATTTTTTTTTCATATGATGACAGAGTTTTGTTATTTTATTGAATTTTTATAAAAAATGGATAAGCAAAATTATTTTAAAACAAAATTTTACTATATATGATAAAATAAATTTAAATTGATAAATTATATATATATATATATATATATATATATATAGAGAGAGAGAGAGAGAGAGAGAAAGGACATAAAAGTAAATTAATCTTGCAAACCTATACAAAGCACAAAGATATATTATAATATAAATATTGAATAAAAATCGTGAAAAATATCTCCTCAAACAAAATTTTTACAACACTACAACTAATCTTAAAAATATAAAACATTCAATATAACATAATGTATTATTATTATTATTATTATTATTATTATTATTATTATTATTATTATTATTATTATTATTATTATTATATAAAAATAGAAAATTATCAACGAAAATAATGTTGCCAATAAATTTTTATTACATATGGACATATCATCAGTATGTTGTAAGTTAATTTTTTATTATTATCAGCAGATAAATCAGTAAAAAATATTAATATATTAATTATTATATAATAAATAATAATGTATTAATAATTTAATTATAAATATTAATATGTTAATATATTAACTATTTGTATAATAAATATTAATATACTAATTATTTAATTAATAAATACAAATCTAATAATTATTTAACTAGTAATATTAATCAATTAATTATGAAATTAAAAATATTATTTAACAATTACTTAATTAACATATTTTAATAATGTATTGCTTATTTAGTTATAAATATTCATATATTAACGAATAACTATTAATATATTAATGAAGAGAATGTTAAATCTAGATTAGATCTCACCTTAATTATCTCATTTATATTCTTAAAAATAAGTTTTGTAGAAGTGCATCATCCCTTTAAAGGCATGAAAATATTAAATTATCCATCTACACAGTATTCATATATACTTACGAACAAATTTTTATAAGGATGAATTTTATTAGAAAATAAAATTATTAGACAAGAAATTTATTAGAATACTTGAGAAAATTTTGGTAATTATGCTAGAGAGATATGAAACATTTATTACTTCATTGAAAAACACAAAAGATTAGTCTAATATTACTTTGGCAAAAATGTTATATGTTTTACAAACGCAAGAACAACGAATATTGATGAGAGGAGATCATGCTGCTAGTGAAGATTTTTTACTATATCATGGTGAAAGTTTTCTTCAAGGCAAGAACAACAAAGATATCAAATCACAAGTCTTTTGTGTCTGTTCTTATTGCAAGAAAAATAATCACACACCAAAAAAGTGTTGGTAGAAGCCTGATGTGAAATGTCGCAAATATGGTCAATTGAGACATATAGAAAATATGTAAATCACAACCAGAAAAAATCATCAAAGTTATAGAGGATGGAGTAGAAAGGGAACTTTTCCTTGCATCAACATGCACTGCTACAGATATGACTTTCAACGTCGGTTATATAAGGTTTTCAACGGCGGTTATATAACCGACGTTGTATCAGGCGACGTTGAAAGTATAGACTTTCAACGTCGGTTATTCATACCCGACGTTGAAAGTTTGGACTTTCAACGTCGGGTATGAATAACCGACGTAGAAATGCTGAATATAAACGACACTGCATTTGGGGTTTTAACTACGTCGGTTATGGTAAAAGCCGACGTTGATATTATTATTTTCTACGTCAGTTATTGACACAACTGACGTAGAAAGTCTTTTTTTTTTTAAAATGACTGCTTTGTTTATACAGGGTATCCCAATGTTTGTATACAATACCTGCAAATTTGAATATAACCCAGGCAGACAATATACAAGATATAAACTAATTGAATGTGCATCCAAAAATAAAATTGTATCCAAAATTACAAATATGTATCCAACTACTTATCTACCAAATACACTAACTACTAATCTAACTAATAAACTAACTAGTAAACTAACTACTAAACTAACTACTAAACTAACTACTAAATTAATAACTAAACTTGCCTACTTCTAACTTTAACAAACTTATCGGCCCAGGTGTTTCTAATATCGTCAATGGTCTCTATGGGCAATGCTTCGCTGTCTGAAAATACTTGTTACAAGAAAAAAGATAATTTAACAGAGTATCCAATGACACAATATTTAATTTTATTGAATACTAAATTTAAGCAAACTTGATTCCATGTATCCTCAGTCTTGCTAACAACAATCAGCCACATCCAGTGCATAACATAATATCCGCACTCATAAGATCCTGGTTGCCTATTACACTACAAACAATAATATATTAATTTGACATATAAAATGAATGATATAATACATAAATATAAAATTACTTACATTAACAAAAATCCAATTTGGAGTCGTGCTTTTGCTTGTGTGTACTCTATCCATTGTATTGCAAACCTTAAATGCACTGTGCAATACAAGATATAATGAAACAATTAAGTAACAAAACAAGTAATAATTGTTTAAATTATTATAAGAATGTGTACCTATTTACAATGTATTTAATATTCGCATCAGGTTTCTTGCCCAATGAGCAGTAACCAAGCCACAACATTCTCGCTTTGGGCAAACAACCAACAACTCGCCAATGATTTCGTTTACATTACAAAAAGTTAGGATACATACAATACACTATAAAACTTAATGCGAATAATTTCATACGCTTAAATACTTACCGATAGAAGTAAGCACCCAAGTAAACTTTCTTCCTTGACTTCATCATCCAATTTTGGATGTATATTTGAACTTCTTCTCTCTTGTTTCCTGATTTTTGTATGGATTGGGGCTCAAAAAATCCATACACATCTTGGGTGCGTTGTTGCTCCGACAATTCATTCATCATCCTAAAGTAGCCAGTTCAATGTACATTAAATATGACGATAACTTCAAATAACATAATTAGTAAATAAAAATAAATACTTACATTGTCCAAAATTGTAACACCGCTATGTTTAGACAATCGATTGCCAACTCGCTATCTCCACAACATCGGTGTGGTCAATGTAAAGGGGAAAGTTCTTATTGTCTACCCCTAACTTATCAACATCCCACTTCACTTGAAAAGATTGAATATACAACCGTGGAGCAATAGATAGTAGTTGAAAAATTGGATTTTCTCGGGACATTTACTTCCTTACCTTTACTAGTATGGGAAGTAGGAACCAGCTTAGGCAACCTGGGTGGCTTCGAATATCCTACATAAAATAACATTGACTTAAGAAATAATAAAAAACAAGTACGAGACTACATATGATAATTAACGTAAAATATATGCAAACCTTTTTCAAAATAGGCCCGATTAGATGTCTAGGCCATGCAATGAAGGTCTCGAGGGCCTGTCCCACTGTCATCACCTCGTCTGTGGGCATAGGTACAAGAGCATAAGCATCTCGAACCTCTTCAATGACCACTTTGGCCAAGTTAGGTGCTAAAGGCACACTATGAATTGTAGAGGCCCCCTCTTCAATTGAACCAACCGCCACCAATCGTGGTTCAGATCCATCCTCATCAACATAAAATTCACACTGACCTGATTACACAAAAATAAGACATTAATTATTTAATATGCACATGAATTTTTGTCATGAAGATATCATCCACACATACCTGAGTGGTCAGTGTCTGCAACAACAACAACCTCTTGATTAGTAGCAGGAAGCTCTTGATCAACAGTATTTGGCTCAGCACAACTACCCTTAGTGCTAACTCGTGCGGCAGATGGAGGAGGAACATCCATAGGTGGGTGGATAGACTGTGTGACACCTATGGATGCTAGACTTGAACCAAATACACGCTGAAAATGATGAAGATCTTAGTGAAATACTTTGGCAAAGATCTCATTGATTTGATGAAGTCAAAGATGGAGT